TGACAAAAACAATTAATGTAGAACGAAATTACCAAATATATTAAAATGTATTTATACAAAATGAAATAAGGAAAACTAAAACAATACTTGTTAATTTATAATTATTCCCACTGCGACTGGGCGCTTAACTCTGTCTAATCGGCGCTGTGACTATTGAAGAAAACCTTTTTTAGGAAGCACTTCAAAATAAGAGTTTTGTTACAAAGAAAACCGGAGGTCGTCAGCTAATTTCCGCTTACACAAGTGTGATTTACAGACCATGTACCTTGGTGTCAGTCTGCCAATGAGCAGAGACCCCAACCCAGGGTGGCCAATCAGGTCACTCCAGGTCCCATTCCTCACATGCTACAATTATTTAAATGCCTTTTTCTTCTTCTTCTTCTTCTTCTTGTGTATTTTAGCCTCTTGTTGTGTCGGTAGTTCAGCTGAGTGTCTGTGAAATGTTAGTTTTTATAGTTTGGACACTGTCAGCATTAGCACAGTTGGGTGTACAGTGGAAACAGAGACAGTCAGAAGTTTTAACACTTCTGTTAATAACAACAGGACAAGACAATATTACAGTGGAACAATGAAACTTTAGGGATTTGACATTTGAAATGGCATTGATAATTGGAAGCAGCTAGTGACAGGACTTGGACTGTTATACCTAATAGTGATGTGATGATATTGAACCATTTGTTCAATATTAACTAATCTTTCATATGAGTCAGGAGTAATGAGTCAATTTTCATGCAATACCTTGTCATCCGTCCTCAGGTCCTCGTTCTTTTGTCACATGACAGCCAGGCCGTGTGGCGTGCCTGGGAGCATTACAGTTCGTTCACGAATCGTTCACACAGATTGTTCTTTCGTTTGGTTTGGTTTTATTTCACTTTATGTCCCTTAGATGTGTATAATGTAATTATAATAATAATACTTAACAATAATAACAACATAAATATAATAATAATAATAGTCACATTTTGGACCCAAGAAATACACCATGTAATTATTTTAAGGAAATAATTGTTACTTTTTGATTTAATTGTCACCAATTGTCATGATGGGTTTTACATTCACTTGACCTCTACTAGCTGTCATGTGACAAGCAGCTCGGACTGAACAGGTTTTTTTCGTTCTCGTTCATCGGATTGTTCATTTGCGACAGGGAGCTCAAGCTGCACAGTTTCGTTCTCATTCTCATTCTCGTTCATCCGACCCATTGTCTTGTTCTCGGATGGCGTTCATTTGTCACGTGACAGGTACCCAGTCACTGTGGCACTGTTAAACAACAGTGTCAGAGAGGATGCTGTGGTGTGTACTTTATTAGGTTTTCACATGGTTTGAATTGATTGTTTTGTAATATTACACTTTGTCAATTAAACCAAACCATGCTTTTAATATTTAGCGTTTGAGAACCGCGACTTTCTTTACAACGCCCACAAGAGGGCTACAGCGCCACCTGCTTTAAAACTGAATGAAATAACACGTCCAAGATTCGTTCAATTTACTGTTTAAGAATGAAAGATCACAGTCAGTAAAAATTGTCGATCTTGTTGAATGTTTACCAACACAAAACGTGTTCACTGAACAATACAGCACCTTTAAACAAATAAATAGCAGTGTTAAAAAAGACAGGAAAACAAAGTCTGGAATCAGATGACAAGTCTAAGTAGTTTATTATAGATTGGAGGCACTGAACGACTTGAGTCCAAAAACTTTATCAACAACTGAAAAACTGAACCTCTACAGCCAACGTGAACAGCACACTGTTGTCTCCAGGGCCCAATATATACTAACAAATACACAACGTGGTTTCTCTATAAAATTGTTCTCACTAAGAACTGATGTTTGTGAGTCTTTGTTTTGCACCAAACCATACCACAACTGTCAATGGCCTTATGGCAGTTAATTTTCTGCCTCCATCAATGAAATCAAATGGGTTGGTGTTAGGGGTGATTTCACTGTTTAAAATTTTTCAGATTTAACTCACCAACTGACCACACTACAGGAGGGAACAGTTTACAAGTAGTTTATGTGTGAGTGAGGTAAAGTCAGAGATAGTTTCTTCTGACTTTTGTGGGAGAAACAGGCTCAAAAATGACTTCAGTATTCCTGGTGCATCTGATTTTAGAAATTACAAAGAAATAACATTTTGTAAATAACACAACACATGGTTCAATGTACTGTATGTACAGTTGCATGTACTTCAATTGTACTGCAACTGTAAACAAAAAGCACAATACGATTGTGTATGTCACGTCACACCCTCAAATCCACAAATCTGGAAAAATAAATAATGAACAAATAAATAATGACTAACAACAAAATAATTACAGTGCTATCTAATTCTGGTGACCTCATCAATAATAATCACTTGACAATATCCAAAAAAAACTTAAAATAAATGAATAACAACAAAGTGGAATGTAAGTGGAACCTTTTGTTCTAGTTGTTGTATCCTGTTTTCTGGGTCAGATTTTTAGAATGGCAATGAAAGGCATTTCTGTCAAAAATGAACCATGGTCAAACATTCATTTTTGACAGAAATGCCTTTCATACAGCGAAGGTTAGGAGTAGCTAAGCATTATTTTTATAGGATAAATGAGGAGCAGCCACAAATAATGACTTTTAGTGTATAACCAATAGAACAAAGGAACATTCCACAGCTTCAAAACGGAAAGAATGGCTAAAACATTTAGAACAAGGAAGGGGAGCTCACATTAGTCACATTAGTTAGCCTAGGAGACTAGAACACTGATCCATTTTCAGTCCTTTCCAGAATCTTAAAAGGTATACAATCTATTCTGGGCTCCCACTGAGCTGAAGTAATTCCAAGTATAAACATGACTCAAAGTTTAAGTGAATAGGAAACTCTGAGGTTGTCGTTAGAACTTCCCAGAGCAGGAATCAGAAATGTACAGAATAATCTGGGTTCTGGTTCTAAAATAGTGACTAATAACACATGCAACATGTGATAAAAGTGTACCGTATGGGGAACTTCAGTGCACATGTGTGGCTTACATCTAAAACCCCATGATGAAACCATCTGATGTTCATGAAAAATGAAGACATAACTTTCTTTTAAAATGGTACCTGGGAGTAAAAGGTTCTCGTGGAGATGTGCCCACAAGTTATGATGGAAATGTTCCTGGTCAGAAAGAGTCGGTGAGTGAAATGGTGTCATTGTTCTGTGAGAACACTGTAATTAACTGCTCTACCTGCACCGTTCATCCTGCTGCTACAACCAATGCTGATGCTGCCAATGCTGTTGCAGAGAAGTTCGTCACATCAAGAGCCAGAAAAACACAGTCAGGAGGCCTTTTGACTGTCAGTGTGACACTGACAGGGTTCCAGAGGGTCGGGTGGGTTGGAGTGGGGGGCTATCACACTGTGTGTGTCTAGTTGTGGTCCATACCCAGGTAAATCAGTGTTATACTGTCCTTAACTAACCTTTGAAACAGATCATAGGCCAAGTCATTGGGCCTGAATCCCAAGTGGGTCACATCCTTGAGGATCAGTGCAAAGCATATCAGATTTGTACAAAATCTCACCCTGAACCTGTTGTACTGCATTCCAAGGTGATGGATGATGTTGAGGTACTTTCACCAAAAGCACTAAGTCATGAAGACATGGCAGCAGCTGCTGTGACTGAGGCTAGGGGAACTTCTCAGTTTTTCTGACTGACAAAATCAGCTCAGTATGGAAGGTGAAACAAACTGTATTCACCTTAAAAGTCACAGATCTGGATACTGTAAGTTCAACTTCTGCTTTAGACTAGACCCATTACCAAGGTGTGCTGACTTGACTGACACATCTCTGCTTTAGAAGGTGCAAGTTCCCTGATATGAGCAAAGCCCAGCACGACTGTGCACCACAGACGAGCAACCCGCAGAGACCCCGTAGACCAGACCATTTGTCCTGTGTGTCAGAGCAGGTTACATGTCTTAGATAATCAATGTTTTTTTAAAGCAAATTAGGATTGACATTAAAGCATTAGACCCCCTTAACATCATAGGTTCCAATCCTAATCCTAACTGGTCTACAACCAAATGATTCCATTGAAAAAAGTAAAAACACCAGGTGACTCAACAACGAGTGACTGCAACCGCTGTGCTAAACAAAACACACATCAGAAAGCCACTGGTTAGAAAAAAAATTGCTCTGCTTCTGCTGCTAACATGAAAACCAGATATGGCCTTAGTTCCTTGAATGTCCAGAAAATTCCCTGCTTTAATTGAGAAAGTGACTTCTGTCAGTCACCTGATTCTGGTCGTGGTCCATTACTATCTCTTAATTCTTTTAGAACATGTGTGCGTGTCACACTGTTTCCTGTAAACACAGAGCTTCCACAGCATCACTGGGTCCCTGGGCAACACCACCAATCACAAAAAACATGCCAGGAGTCTGGAGCAGGGAGGTGGAGCAGCGTCCTGTTGGCATCGGTGCTACATACTCCCAGCGCCGCTTCAGTGGGTTGTAACTCTCCACCGAGGTTAAGGGTGAGGGCTCATTACCTGCAAGACAGAATGGAGGCTTCAGGAACAACAGAACTTATTTAAAAACTCTCCGTTTTTTATTGTTTGATTTTAGGTGTGGAGTGGAAACACTAGATCTACATATATCCATGTAGAAGACCACACTGACGGTTGGTTGGTTTTCATCCAACCATAATAAAACAGACACTACAGTGATCTCTGGGTTGAACACAATGTTCTTCCCTCTCAAACACAGGAAAGGTTAAAATAAAAATGAACATCTGAGTCATTGTCATGACAAGACCGTAATCATATGAACCACACATTGTCACTGACTCTGGATTGGCTGCAGGTCTTTCCTGGGAAAGGGGAGTTTTTGTGTGACATCAACTTATTAACTTATTTTGTACTGTTAATTCAACCTTAGAACAAACATTGACTGTTCACATTCCTACATTTTTTCCAATGTTAAATTTTTAGGAGGATTTTTAATTGCATTGAGACGATGTGTTTTGTGAATTTGGGCCGAACAAGTAAAAGTGAAAATCTATTTTCTTTTGTTCCATTGCTCGTCACTGTCACTCTGATCCTTGTGACAGGTGCAGACCTCTGATCATTAAACACAGGTCTAAAATGTTGCCGTTGCCATGGAGGCCAACATCAGCAACTCCTCAAAGGCAAGGGATTGGTGTGTGTGTGTGTGTGTGTGTGTGTCTTTACCAGAACCATAGCAGCACCACAAAAACATAAGTTAAACTTGATCTACGTTTTTTCCCCTTGATAAATTTGTGTTGTTAGTAAAGTGTTCTTTTTTGAGGTTCAACCACAGCTTTAGAACCTACTGGAAAACAGGTCTACTTAAGTCATCATGTCTTAAATCACCATTTGCCTGCTACAGTTTATCCCAATCCTCAAACACCTATTTTCTTGACATTGTTGTCTTTCAAGGTTCTATATGTTTGTATACGAGATGATATCATTAAGTTCAAAGAAGGTTTCAGAACCTCACTCACCTAAACCACCAGCTACGATGACTCTTCCTCCCAGACATCCAGCAACAAAGTCAGCTCTTTTCTCCTTCATCCTGGACATTCTGGCAGGTTTGATCCAGGTTCCTGCAGCAAGAAGAGGACAGGAAAGGACGCAAAAAAAAAGCATTAAATTAAAGATCAAAAAGAATCCTGCAGATATTTGATTGGTCAATATTGAAAGTCGATTCTCCTGTAGGTCGTCCACTCACAACACTGAAACCTTCTTAAATCAGAAGGAGTTTTTGGGCTGCTTCCATGTTCAGGAAGACAAACATTAGGGGGTTCATTAGTCCACATCTACCACTATCTGATGGCTGCTTGTTGTCTGACCCATTTCCAGTAGAGCATGAAGAGAGAACTGGACATAGTGAAGTGGATGTCCAGTTTACTCAGAGATTTAAATCAGTTTGTCTTTAAGGCCGGAGACATCAGGCAGTAAACAGCTGTTTTCATGAAACTGTACTAGGAACAACATGCCAGCAGAGGGAGTTGTTAGCTGATTTTTTTTATTCAATACTGAACTAAACCTACTCCACTTCCAGCTAAAACCTCACTTAAAATGCATCAATACTATTTACACCAAATATTTTTCTTTACTTACAATGCAGGGGCGTAGCAACAGAGCAGGAAACCCAGGCAATTGCCCAGAGCCCCAAACAGAAAGGGCCCAAAGAGTCCATTCCTTCATTCATACATTCATTCCTTCATTCATCCATCATACCTTGCTCAAGGTCATACTCTTCCATAGTATTGACGAAGTGAGGTCTGGAGTAAAAGTTGTGTGGTCCTGGCTGCTGGAGCCCCCCCAAACTAAAGAGACTTTGTTCATTGGATGTGCAGCAGGAAAAAGCTCTTCTGCTGGGGATACTGGGATAACGTGTCCAGCTCTTGGTCTCCAGGTCAAAGGCCTCCAAAGCTGTGACCGGCATCTTTCCCTGACGACCGCCTTTCAGCAGCAGGAGACAAAAGACAGAGATAAAACTAAACATTAAGTTATCTTTTCAGCTATTTCAAACTAAGATCATTTTTTTGATTCAATGCAAATTCAACATCAGAAAGTACAAACAAAGGTTTTAGGTTGAGAATTTAGAACAAGTTTTTCAGGTGCTGCTGTTGTTCATGGACTCATTGGTTCAATGATAAACGGTTTCTGACACGCAAGTAATTACGGCATTATTACGGCCACGACTGCAATGCATGATGGGTATATTGCTAGGGTAGTGACCATCGGCTGTACACTTAATTATGAGGTTAATTGTGGGATACATTGAGTGGCCCACATAGCAGACTGTTCTACTCACTACACATTCAGACACCACTACAGAGTGATGGTTGAACTGAAGTCGGGCCAGAAGAGAGTGCACACACAGAGTCTATGAAGATTCTCAGTCATCCAGGTCATGGTCAAGTTTGAAAGTTCTGTTAGGCAACTGGACATGCATTTTCTAAAAGAAACCTCTCATCCAAGAGGCTTTTTTAGTTCTAACTGGTGATGAGGAGTACAGCAGATATATACTCTAGGTGTGAAAGAATAAGGCTACTTCAGGTCCACCCTGTTGGTTGGGACCTTGGGGTCAACTGTGAAAGTGTAAACAGTCGTTAAGAGTCTTATGGGTCATTGTGGTCCTGATGTCCTCATCAGAAAGGTTTCGGTCACCTGCCTCTTTGTTATGTGAACATAACATCACAAAGATGCAGGTGACCAAAACACCAGTTAGAACTGAAGAAGCCTCTTGGATGAGAGGTGAATCGTATTCTTTTAGAAAATTCACGTCCAGTTGCCTAACAGAAGTTTCAAACTGAGATGAGCCTTCACAAAGACTTGAGGGGTGGGGGCACAAACGAGGTACAGTTCCACAGGGGCAAGTCTTGGACAGACACCCCCACTTTTTGCCAGTTTTTTTGTCAGCATTTTGCCAAGTAGGCAATGAGTAAAAGCCAACTGTAAATGAAAAGTGAGGAGAGGTGACAGAATGTGAGGTGCTGTATACAGTGGCTTACAAAATCATTATTTTTTCCTTTTAATTATCATTTGTATTTATAGCAGTTAAAAATGTGTTTTCTTTTCTTTTTTTGTAATTTCATTAATTTTCAATACAACTATAATAACCTTGCGCTGCTGTGCTGTTTTTCTAGTGGATGTTTCAAAGATCAAATTTGTCTTTGTTTGAATTTTGCTCTTGTCTAACATGGACCTTAATGTCTTCCATACAGTAGAAGGTGCGATTTTCTCCTTCAGCATCAAGCGCAGCATCAGCAGCAACCACAGCAGTATCGTTCCCCATGTGTCGGCTCTAAGAGCCAGGTCTGGTCGGGGAGTGTCAAGTCGTATGGCTGTTTTTCTGTCCTCACTTTTTTTATTTGATTAGAATGTTAAAGAAAACAATAACTAAAATGCAGACGAATAATGATTTTATGAAAATACTGAGTGAAAAATTGCTAATCAACACAGAAAATGTGCTAAGTTGAGCTAAAACAGAAGGCTCAGAGTGATACTACATGAACAGCCAAAAGAGCCCGACTTCCCATCACTCTAACACTTAAGGGACGAGTCAATACAACAATGACCAACACCGAGTCTGATCCTTCAGAGGAAACAAAGACACCCCCAGACTCCCACAATGAATCAATCATCAGCCCATAAAACCAATACAAAGTCTCACCCAGGATGTAGATTTTGTTTCCTATCAGGAATGCTGTAGCTCCATACCGTGGTGTAGGCATGGAAGTCAAGGGCTGCCACTGGTCTTTTTCGGCCTGGTAAACTCTCACCAAAGCCTGGGGTGTGGTGTCTGACGCCATTCCCCCCAACGCATACACTTTACCATCTGAAAAATAACACAAGACAAAGGCTGTAAAAAAGTGGTTATGGTTTAGTCAGACATTCATCTGGATTATCATGTAGGGAGGGTGGTCATTTAGGCCCATGGTCATGTCATGTTTTCGACATCATCTTCTGAGAGAGTTCCTGCAGACTCACACAAGGGCAGGTTCAGACGTTTGACTATACCGTGATTTAACGGGGGTGTGGAGAAAAAAAGAAATAAAACAAAGGGGGGGGGGTTAATGGAAGGCAGAGAAAAGAATGTGTGGATGTTTAATTGTAATTCTCTTCATCAGTCAGAAGGAAACAGTGTTTGTGTGATTCAATGTGTGAGAAATAAACTAACAAATCTGTGGGTGAATTCATATCAACACAGACTGTGATCAAAGCTGTGATTGTGTCATAAAGTCATCAACACAGTGTGACTGGACCAGTTCAGCCGGGGTAGAGGGAAGTTTCCTGCCCCCTCTACCTGTGACAACTTCCAGGTAGGGGGGAGGAAGGACACCGACATTCAAATGCATCAATAAAATACCCATAAATGGATTGGGGGGGCGGGCAATATTGAATGGTGATGAGAATTATTCTCTAGATTTAAAATACTGTAGTAAATGTACAAATGTACACACTCACATGAAGTGTTTACATACAGTACAATATAACCTTCTCTGACTGGACCTATGACACACACTCTGTGGGTGTGTGTGTGTGTATGATCCACGCTAAATCAGGAAACCGTGTTCGATGCATCACCGTGGAAATACCATGGAAACGTGGGCAGTCAGGCAGACTAACCCACTGTGTGTGGTTTGAGGAGCAGCAGCTCAGTGAAGATCTGATCCAGAATCTGGTGCATCACAGACATAGGTTTTTATTAAAATTATTTTACGCACCAGGACTGTTTATAAAAAAAACAAAAAACAAGGAGAATATTCTGTAACCCCACATTATAAGATTAAAATTTCTTAGTTAGTTAAAAAACAGGAAAAGATTTAGAAAATCTACAAAATTATAGAAAAAGGGAAAAACATCAGCAGCAGTAAAGTTGTTACAACCACAGCTGAAACAGTAGTGAACAGAAAACTGTTCTTCACAAAGACACGTTTGAAGGTCGCAGCCTTTTTTCTTGATGAACACCAAAACCTTTATCTTGCTGCTCAGAGACATTTCATCTTCTGATGGGCATCTACATATACACACACACACAAATATATCTATATACAGAGTATATAATATATACTGTATATACATATATAAACATACATATCATTGTTGAGAAAAATAAATAAAATATTAGCACTTGAGGTTTAGAAGAGGCAGTGATGCCTGTAATTGGCTGAGAGGATCTGCAGCCCCCTCCTGGCCAACATCAGAATTTGTTGGCCAGAATTTGTTTGGTGACCGTGAAGAAAAAAAAAAAAGAAAAAAAACACATTATGAGATGAATAGTTTAAATCCATATAAAGGAGCAGGAGCACTGGTGTCCACTAATATTTAATAACCAGCCAAACAAAACAAGAAACATGAAGGAAACCAACCTTGATCCCTAGGAAACCGAGTGTCTGAACCTGTGTCTGAATTAGATGTTAACTCAGCTGTACTTTAAACTCCACACCTTAGCATGAAAGATTTATTTTTTTAAAGCAGGAAAAACAGCTGCTGCCTCAACACTTTCACTCAGTCTGCTCATTTGAATTGTAAATATCACACACCTGCACATGCACACACAAACCAGCGCCCAGTCAGTGCAGACTGTGGAACAAAGAGGAAGACATGAAAGTAAACCCTGAGACTCATTATTAATGGCTACACCGGTGGTTCCCAAACGTCTCTGCAGCGCCCCCATTTAGTATTTAATATCAGATCTCACAGAAAAAAAAAAATCAAATTAAAAATCAGATTTTAATCCCACTGTGGCAAAAAAAAAATTAATTTGCACTCCACTTTAAGAACTACTGGGTTAGACAAATAAAAGTTAACCCTGGGCCTCACCCTTAATGGTCAGAGAAGGTTCATTTAGAAACATGAAAACAAATCCCTTGTGTTTTCCTTGGGGTCATGTTAACACCAGCTTTATGGGTCAATTTTGGTCCAAAAAACCTAAAGTGTAAAACTGGTCTTGCAACAACAATATTAAAATAATATGTTAGCACCTGTTAGTATTATTATATCTATTATTATTATAATTATTATTATTATATAATCTTATTACACTGCCTGACATTTAAAAATTAAAAGGTTTCACAAATTTTTAAAAATATTTTATGGAAAGATTTTTTTCTAAAACAACCACAGCTATTATTTTATTTTGGTTAAATTACTGGATTCAAAGGCAGAAGATGACATCAGGTCTGATCATTAGTTCATTTTTCAAACCAATCCAATCAAAAGTTTTGAATTTTAAATACAGACTTAGACAGTTGACAATGAATGCTCAATGTGAGGATGGCTGCAGCTGTGTGTGTGTGTGTGTGTGGTATTTGTCTACATTGCTGTCGAAAAGGTGCTGAGTTTATGCAGTAATATCAGCAGAGGACGAAGGAGGAGGAAAATAAGGAGAGGCTGTAGGGGATTTATGTTCACAGACTGAATCACAGATGTAAATAAATCTGAAAAGTCAACATCCACTACATGACAATTTTAACAATTTCTGAACCTGAAGATGTCACAATAAACAACTGTTCAGCTTCACAAAGGCCAAAGGTCTAAATGATCATCTGTCATTTAAATAAACGTTGCTGTGTTCAACAAATTACTTCACAAAATCAAAAGCAGATTCACTGAACGTATTCATTTATTTATGTTTGGATTATGGCGTTATTTAGAATTTTATGGCTAGGATTGATCTGGACACACAGATTCAACCAAAGGCACACACTCCTAGAGATAGACACACACACTCCAGTTGACTCTTAGTCTAAAATTGGACACAGGAGTCACACACCTGTTGCTAAGCAACAGCAATGCTGGATCCATCAGTACAGTGAAATGTAGTGCAGACACGACAGTGCACATACATTTACACAGTGATTGAAGTGCTGGAAAAAAGCAGTGTAAAAATGGATAACAAACACACACACACACAGGTACAAGTACACACACAACGTGACAAATGGTTTTTAAACTGAGCAAGAATGCTTCAAATCAACCCTTAACATTTCTTTAAAAAACTGTCACAATATTGAATATTTGTGACAACAATTCTGTAATAATATTTAATCTTAATATATTTGACATATATAATATAAGAGGAGATCTTTCATCTCCACTTGTGAAACATTTTCATTCCAAATCTTCTCATCGTCATTGTCTGTATTCAGAACAAAAAAGGAGTTTGTTTTTTTTGCTTTCTCACCTTTCTCCACGATGGTGACACCCATGGAGGGTTGAGTCAGACTAGCTCTGGTCTCCCACTTCCCTTCATCTGGATGAAACGTCTCTACAGAAGCCAGTGGCGTCTGCTGCTGGTTCATGCCACCCAGGACCATCACCTGTCCATCCACAGCTACCACTGAGGCACCAGCCCGAGCCGTGGGCAGCGGTGGCAGCTGACTCCAGGTCTGACTAGCTACATCTAGAACCTCCACACTATCCAGAGGCATACCAGTCTCACTGCAGCCTCCAAGCACATACAGCAGGCCTGCATTAAAAACTGGAGCACAGTAGACCCGACGCTGAGACATCGGGGGGAACTGCTGCCAGAACAAGGACTTGACAGGACTCACTGCCATCTCCTGAACAGGCATGTTTCCAGGACAAAGAGGAGAGAGAGCACCATGAGCAGGAAGCAGGTTGACCAGGAGAAGAATATGATAATGATGATGATGTTTGGGGATGAGTATCCAGTGCCTGGACACAGTCCTGGTCAACAAAATTCAAGATGTTTTATTCATGAAGATGTTGCTGTCTTTAACTTCCAGTCTCCAGCTGACTCAGTGGTCTCAGGTCTCAGTGACAGGACCTGGGTTTCTGGGTGAAAACTAAAAATAAAGTCTCTTAAAGAGACAAACAACAAACATCCAGGTTCAACAATGTGAGAAGAGTGAGAGATCATCCAAGAGTTCGTCTAAGACTTAAGACAAATGACGTTGCTCTGTATATTGTTTCCAAATTCAATAGGAATTCCCACAATCCCAGGCAAGATCTCAGTCAGTGGCACCATGTCTGGTGAATGAGCTTTGAAGCTGTGCAGACAAAAAAAAAACAAAAACAAAGGGTTAGGGTCAAACATAAGTGACATCAAAGCAGCAGAACCAGAACTTGAATTTGTCTGTGAACTGATAGAAGCTCACTGTGGTTCAGTGGGTAAAGAGGTACCTGTCAAATATGTAGAGCACAAGTGATAAGAAGAAAGTCATCTACTAAGATCTGTTCATCTTCTAATAAACTACTAAGACTAACTTACTAATATTAACCATAATCTGATTCAACTGACCAACACAGAGAACTCATTTGAGGTTCCTGTAGAGGCTTTGCAATTTCACAGACAATAATCAATCCACCACAGGTCAAAAGTCAGTCAACTGATCATTTCTTTTTACTTGTTTAATAATGGTATCACAAAATCTCAGTGTCGCTCTGGAACAAAAATGTCAATGTCCACGGGGCATACGATTTAAATGCCCAAGCCACCTCAGCTGACTCCTCTTGATGGAGAGAAGCAGCATCTCTACTCCAAGAGCTTCTCGCTATCAAACACTCATGTCATTTTACCACTTCTCAGCCAATTTTTCTTTCCAAAGACAAGAACCAGTGAGGACAGAGAGGGAGAGAAGACCAGTGTTTCCCAAACTTTTTTGAGCCACAGCGCACAACCAAACAAAAAACTCTTGGCCTGTTTAGTTGAAGACAGTGATGATATACTGGAAGGAATTGAAGACCTTCAACAGCTCTGATTATCTTTTTTTTAATTATCATAGCTATCTGCTGCCACCTAGCAAAAGAGTACTTAATTGTTCTGCCTTTCATGCTTCGATGAGCAAAGAAAAATGATATAATAATAATACATTTTATTTCATAGACGCCTTTCTGTCACCAAAGGACACCTTACAGCAAATACAAAGATAACAACACAGCACAGGAGGGCTGGGATGTGAAGGTTTTTAGCTGGATGAACCGAGTGTGACACGACAGGTATGATTTAAACCAGTTTAGAGGGGTCTGATACCAAGGGCAAAGAGTCTGTTGAGGAGGATGGAATGACACATGGTGTAAAAAGCTGCAGTTAGGTCAAGGAGGATGAGGATGGAGAGTAAACCAGAATCAGCTGCCATGAGAAGCTCGTTGGTGATTTTAATGAGGGCAGTTTCTGTACTATGAAGGGAGCAGAAGCCAGATTGGAACTGTTCATAGAGGTTATTGTTGGAGAGATGGGCATTGAGTTGAGTTGCTACTATTTTCTCGAGGAATTTAGAGATGAAAGGCAGGTTGGAGATTGGACGTAGGTTATTAAAATTGGAGGGGTCAGTGCCAGGTTGTTTCAGAATTTGGGGTTATTGCAGCAATTTTGAATGAGGTAGGAACAGTCCCAGTGGTAAGAGAGGAGTGGATGATGGCAGAAATGAGCGGGACGAGAGAAGGGAGGCAAGCTTTAACTAAATCTGTGGGGAGAGGATGCAGCTGACGGGTGGAGGGCTTAGACTTGTAGATGAGATCGGAGATTACTGAGGTGGAGGGGAGCAAAAAGGAGCAAAAGGAACGGGTAGAAGAGGGGAGTTCAGATGTAGTATCAGAGGTGGGTTGTGGACTAAGATGCTTATGAATACTCTGGAACTTAACTCAAAAAATGCCATAAGGGAGTTATAGAATGCAGTTGAGTACAGATGAGATGGTATAGAATATGCAATAACTAAACAATAGTTTTCAGACCAATTGGATGATTTTCCACAGCACACTTAATGACCTCTCACGGCACACAAGTGGGCAACGGCACAGTGGTTGGGAATCACTGGAGAAGACTGACAACACATTGTCACGTTGATTTGTGGACCACGACCACATCTGATAAAATGAGCGGTTAGTATACCTGCCTTGGAAGCCGAGAGCAGAGAGTCCTCGGTTCGATTCCCAGAGGAACTACATGCCTGATAATGTTAATCCTCCTCTGTGAGACACTTTGGATAAAAGTGTCTTCTAAAAGCATAAATGTAAATGTGATAAAGACAAACAAAAGGATGGAAGAGAAAAGGCCGACACAGTTGTTCTCCACCAAATGTTGACCAGCAGCTTCTAAAACTGCATCAGCAGTCGACACCAGAGGTTAATGGTGCATTCAAAACAGAAATGCCAAGGAGAAAAAAGACAAAGTGATAAATGACAGAGAATGGGGTTAGTGAGAAGTTCTTCTCCACTTTCATCTGTAGCACCTTTGTTCTAACGCCCTTCTAAGCCCTGAAAACGATCACGTTGATCCGACTCAACTGTAAAGAACAAAGAAAAATAAATTCTGAATCTGTTGATTCGGTTGACATATTGATGAACCAATCCATGAACAGTTAAAACACATAGTATTCTGCTGAGCCATGGGTTTCTGAGCAAAAACATACTCCAAAAATACCAATGAGAATTACTGATGTTAAGGCTGAAGTCTATTAGTTTCTGCTTTGTTGATATTTCTCTCCCTCCATTTTCTCCCTTTCCTCCACCCCCTCATTTTGATTTTTTTTAACTTTATCATCTTCATCTGGGGACTCTCTCCACCCAGTGCTGCAGTTTCCCAGCAGACGCTGATACTTTCCTTTTAAAAAGAAGATGGAAGGACAGATTAGAGGACAAATAAACAGAGGGAGTAAGCAAGAAGAAAAGGGAGAGAGAAGGAGGAAAACGAGATAAGAGGGTTAGAAAGAGGGCAGCTTTTAAAGAAAGAAACGTCTAAACAAACCATTTGTTTAGTCATGAAATACTTTCATTTGGTCAAAACAAATTTTTATTTCATTAATGCCAAATAAATTAATCTTAGCACAGATAAAACAAAAAGGAAAACCTTAAAAAGGAAAACAGTCAAAAATAGAACATGCTGATTAAAAAAGCCAGAAAATAACAAATGCTAATTAAAAAGAAAAAAAAAGATATAAAACATTCAGGCACAAATTATAACTTTGTACCGCCAGACCAACAGTTCTAAAAAAAAAAAACAAGTTAATGAGAAACATCATCATCATTGCCACCATTATTTAACACAGTGTAGGACAAATGGATACAATGCACATCTGTGTGGATTTATAAGGTAACGTCATCACCATCATCTTCATCCTAATCCTAACTCAACTCTAAGGCCAGAAGCTGTTTTTGTATAAGAGATCCATGACGTGAACAGAACCTCAACAACAAAAGACGTTAAAATTCACCTCCAGTTTAAAAAACAACAACATGTCGCGTTAATGACAAACTCAAACATGTGACTGAAACAACAAGGAACTGCAAGACGTTAGGAATCTGTTTGTCTCGAGTGCCAAAGCAGCTCTCCGTCACTGGTCTGTAGGTGGTGCTATGACACACATGTTCCCCGTTCTTAATTCACATTTACAGTAGTTGTATTTGAATCTGATTAGAATTGTGTCCACAAGGAAATAAAAAATCCTTATGATGGGAAGTTGTTTTAAATCCACTATGTAAAAAAGATAAAGACACTATGTGGCATTTAGTCAACACGTTCGATCGTTAGCCTCTTAGTGGCGCAATAGCAGTTTTTTTTGTTTTGTTTTTAACTTGACTCTCTCTCTCTCTCTTAACTAAAATTCAGTTCTTTATGGTTTGTGGTTCATCAAGCCTGTGTTAGATTCACTGCTACGTGTTATCAAACTAATATTTTTGCTGCTCTCTGTTTTTCATGCGTGGCCAGTTGAAATCCAACTCAAAGAGAGTACAAATAAATAAATACATAAATAACAGCAAAATAATTCTTATTGAACATCAACAGTTGAAAGAAGGAACGTTTTGTTTTCCTGCAGAAATTGGGTAAAACACACCGGTGGGTCGCGACCCACCTCTTGACATACAGATGACTAGTTTTTTGGAGGGTGATAAAAGTTAATAAGGATTTACCTTCAATGAATCATGTGTGAGAACGACGAACAAAAAGACATGTCCACAAAAGCTGTCATTTATCTGAAAGACTCCATACCTGGTCACGTGTCTGATTCCCCGCGTCTGCCTCATTAAATCCACGTGTCCCTGTCCCGCATCCTCGGAACATCATCTCCATCCGTGCGTCAGGATTAGTCAACTTTTCTGTGTCGCAGCTGCACTCCCTCGTCGACTCCCCCACTATCTCTCCCTGTCTATCGGTGATTTAAAACACAATGAGCTGCGCATAAAAAATAAAATGCCTCGATGTTTGCAGACAGTTTTCAGCGCCTCCTGCTGACGGCTCTGTTATTGAAGCACCGACGCTAATCAGCTCGTTTTCTATATCATCGTCATCATCGTCGTCGTCTGTATCCACTGACTCAACTTACACAGCTGCCTCCTCTTCCTGTCAACACTCCTCCCCCTCGCCCTCCCCCCTCTCTCTTTCTCTCTCTATGCTCAATGACGCAGCCTCTTTAAACATGTTCATCCCTAACCCTCGCTTAATTTTAGCCAATACTATTAGTTGACCAGAAACTAGAAACCAACCTTCTCACTCTCTCTTGTAACAAAAATTATTTTGTTTTATCATTTCTATGTTGATAATTATTTATTTTTGGACAATTATTTACCGGAAACGGTTATTTCTATTGTAATTTTGTTTTGCTTTTTTTGCAAATATATAATATCTAATAATATTATAAATATTTAGCAATTGTTGACTATCACGACTGATATATCAGTACCAACTTGGGTTATTTCAGGGCAACTGAAATAACCCAAGTTAGAATAAAACACTGCAGTGATTTGTGGTGGGAGAAAAAAAATAACGCTGCAATTTCTTAAATAAACCACACTGTGGCGCCAAAGACCAGTGTGTTTCTTACGGATGCTCAGATCCGACATCTCCAGTTTGGCGTTTTTGCCTTATATTAAGAGAAAAGCGCCATTGGTTCTTTAATTCTGTTCACAGCAGAATCGTTGTTGACTGGAAAAATAAAGAAGCAGCTAAAACGTCCGTCTGTGACAATCTGACATCGTTGAGTATGACGTACATCACCTATGATGAGTCAGGATTTCTTAGTATTTACGATCTGTCATTTTACATTTTTATATGGTCATTTTCCGTCGTTCACTAAATACTTTTAAATGGTTTAGTTTGTTTTTAATTGTATTTACTTTGATAATTGTTAATCAATTGTTAAATAATCAACAGTTAACTGTACCGTTATAACCTGAAGGGAATTTATTGTAATTTTACGCGTTAAAACGTTAAACTAATATATAAACATGTTTATCTATTTTAATGACGGGTTTATTTTATGTGTGTATTATACATATATATGTGAGAAACGGAGGGGGAACACTAGAATAGCGTAGTTTCACTGGGGATAACTTTACGTGTTGCACAACATGTGACGTTCCTCAGTGTCTATAGACTGACGGCTTGGATCGTGTGGCGAAAACATTTTTGTTTGTTGCTAAAACCTGTATTGCAGTTTGATTTGCGAAGTTATTGCGCTAACCCGCACAGGACGTGACGTATTGTGACCCGTTTATATACATTCTTGATCTTGTTGCTGATTCTCGGGCGGTTTCTTTTGGCGTTTCACTCTCAGCTCAGTCGTCAACGCAGCAAACATGGATCCTGACGTAGCTCTGAGGCTGTTTGAGGAGGGAGCCACCCTGGTTCTGCTGGGTGTCCCACAGGGCACAGAGCTGGGGATTGACTGCAAGAGTTGGCAGGTGGGTCCTCGCTTCCGTGGAATTAAGATGATTCCACCTGGCCTGCACTTTCTTCACTATAGTGCTGGAAACCCATCTCAGAGCAGAGGTGAAATCTTCCTAAAGACGGGGTTCTTCCTCTCCCTCAGACCCCGTGAAATCCTCTTGGCAAAATGGGATCCCAAAGAGGAAGATCTGGATTTTTCAGCTTCCAAAAACCAAGAAGAGGTAGGTAGGATTCAGGCGTCTTTACAGGAGTTGGATCCTTATCTTGGCCCCTATCCGTATGACATGATGAGGAAGTGGGTGTCACTTACCAATCACCTGAGCAAGGAGTTGGTCCAAAACCTGCAGCCTTTGTCTGGTAGGATAAGTTCCTACTGTGACATCATCCCTGAAGTGGAGTTCAGACACACCGAAGACAGAGCACAGCATCCCAGGAACGATACGGCGTGTACAAGCATGAAAGAAGGGCTGGAGCGGCTGCCACGGATGAAGCAGAGAGAGGGAACCGAACTGAGATTCTCCGCTATCCCAAAGAAGACATACCCTCCAGGAGCAACGCCCGCCCAGATCACTCAGTGCAGCCTGGACCTCAGCTACGCTCTGGAAACTGTGCTGAAGAACTACGGACCTCAGCCTCATCACATTCTAGGTACGTTTTTATAACACAAACTGTGTAAGAGTGGGTAACATTAGTTGGAAAGGTCACATGACCCTGCTGCTGGTGCCGTTATTTTTTAAAAATATACTGTATATATAGATATGTATTTATAAATAAAATGTCTTCAGCTACCCTCTGCTGATGGGTTAAAGGCAGAGTTCTCATTGTGGCCGTCCATCAGTGACAATAATTAATTTTAACAATTTTTGACTTTTTACAACACGGCTGTTGTCCACTACTCAGGTGAGCTGCAGTTTGCCTTTGTATGTTTCCTGGTTGCTAACGTCTACGAGGGATTCGAGCACTGGAAGGGTCTGCTGGCACTGCTTTGTCGGTCAGAGGAGGCCATGGTGAAGCAGAAGGAACTCTACCTGGAGCTGATTGCTGTTCTCTACCACCAGCTAGGAGAAATTCCCACCGATTTCTTCGTAGACATTGTGTCTCAAGATAACTTCCTCACTGCAACGCTACAGGTAGATGCTAACGTTCTTCACAGCTGTCCATATAAGCTTTCATTGTTTTATTAAATGTAAGTCATCAGGTGCCTTATATGTACTGTCTGCAGTATACATATATACAGTATATATATACACACATATACATATGTTTATGTATATATGTCTGCTATCACATACTTTACCATAAAATGTCATTGTTATAAAAGGGCCAGTCATAACTTTGCTTAGCCCGTCAGTTAACCCTACACTTTGATAACTGGTTAGCCATGTTCTTCTTCATTAAGCCACACAACACCAACATGAAGGTCCTTCATGTGGATTTAAAGAATTTCTTCTTCTCGTAGGACTTTTTCCAGTTCGCCCGTGGGTCCAGTGTAGACGGAACACTACGTAAGAGAGCAGAGAAGTTTAAGGGTCACCTGACCAAGAAGTTTGCTTGGGATTTTGATATGGACATGGATGACTGTGCTCCTGTGGTAGTGGATCTTCCTGAAGAATTCACTCTGGAATAAATTTGCCTCGTGTTGTATGGATACCTAACCACCAGCAGGGAGCATAACTGTAAGATCTGAAGTCCAGGCATACCATAACATGTACTTTAAAATTACTGTATGTACACTTACCAAAAAAGTAACTGATATCATTCCCCAGTAGGTGAAGAGCAAAGAAGCACATAACCATCTTAGCTGAGGCTCGTATGTCACGACGATGGATGTTCTCCATTGGTCTGAAAGCTGGTATTTATTCATTGCAAATAAATTGTCTTGTTCCTCAATGCTAAAATGACAGGGAGAACAATTAAATTCTCTTCCCCTAGATGGCAGAGGAGGGCAAATGAACCTGTGTATCTACCTGTTGTCATTCAGACAACCAGGAAAGTTGTCTTTCCTTTAGATTTGCTGATTATGTTCTGCTTGATGACGTGAAAACATGCTCTAAAATACACTGCTGCCCTCTTGCTGCTACTGATGGAAACGCATCAAAATACTCGTACTCTTACATAAGATCTGGAAACCACATAAAAAAATCCCTTCTCAGAAAATAACTCTCAGCTCCTCCTGAACCAGGGTCACTGCCAACTGCTCCCCCTTCCCCTCCCTAAGGAGGAGCACAAACAAGCAGCTGCAGGGATTTATGTTTGAATTTGAAACTAAAAATCTCAACCTGTTAGTAATTTAAGGAGATTTCATGGCAAACTTGAATGAATGAAATTAACACAGTGAAAATGAATCACTTACTCACGTTAGAGGAATTCAGAAGTTATCTGCACCAGTGGTTCCCCAGGAATCAGATTTAAAAACACTGCAGCATAGTTCAAAACTGAACACCACTGAGTATGTGTATGTGTACGGACCAGTTGTATTGTTCCTTTATTGTACAGTTTCAGGTCTGAGTTTGCTGTTGACTGTTCATACCGGTCAAACCTCTGGTACTGGGGTCGTACATGGAGTAAAACGTTTGAGGAGAACGTTAGATAAATAAATAAGGTACATATGCAATAAAGCACGAAAACAGTGCTAAAGTACTGCTAACACACCACATGCTATCCACCAGCACTAATGACATCCCAGTACCAATAACAGTTAATTTATCAAAATGCATGTTCTCAATTCTCAAGAACCTATCACACCTTATCAGCGTTTTACAGCATTAGCTACACACTGGTCGGCCAATCCCAAGTCTTTTTCTACTGCACTTCAATCACTGTCCTCATTGGCTCGTCGTTCTAGTTCTAGGTTAACAGAGTCAGCAGTTTGGATGAATGTTGACTTCAGAGACTGACTGTCAGATCACTTCTGTTATGATAGGACCTATTTAATAAAAGAGCTGAAGAGCAGCCTTAGCTCTGAATATGTCTCCCCCAGAGGATAGATTAGGAGTTTACATCTGACCAAGTTGTTCACATTTGTTTAACCAACATTGACTTCATTTGTTTATTAAATAGTTCTAAATAGTTCCACACAGTGGTGAGCAGGAGACTGTTTGTTCTTTCTGTTCTAGGTTTAATTTTATTAATTTTTTACATTTAATGTTAAATTTTATTTTCTATTTAATGAGAAGAAAATAAAGGTTTTTCCTGTTCAGTGTCCTCACTGTGGTTTGGATTCAGCTCACACACACTGCACTGCAACCTACTGTATATTACACTGTCTTTTAGTCCATTGCCTATTTATTGAAACCTAACCTAAAGATGTAGTTTTGACAGTACTCTGTACTGGGGAGTACACAAATGAAAATTGTCTGGCTTTTAAAACAAACAGGATAGGCGTACATGCAACACTGAATACCATTGTAGTTGAAAGAACTGCTCTTTTAAAAGTACTGATGTAAAACTTGCAGCTGCTTTAAGGCTTTTCTGATAAGCATGAAGGATAAAAAATGGGGGGGGGTGGACATGCAGCAGAGATTCCTGAGGTCACGTGTGTCTGTGAGCAGCAGCTCCCTCTAACAAAGAGCTCTTTGTCCTAAGTTCAGCTGGTTCTAACTTGAATTCCTTTAAATAAAACAGTTATAACTACCGTTTAATTACCATTGACCCAGTAGGTGGCAGTATTGCAACTCACAAGATTCAGAACTATTAATAAAGAGATTGACCCCTAGTGAAGACTGACTTGTTCACGTGATCAGAGGCTCTTTGTCAATCCGACCACGAGGATGAAACCAGAGAGACAACTGACCGGAGTGGACGGAACAACTGACTGATGAGTTCTCTCTATTAACAAAAGATACAAAAGTAATGAATGGACATCTACATACAGCAGCATGTGTATTTTGAATGAGCAGGGATGCCAGATCTGATGACAGAAACAAGCAAAGGTAAATTCATTTGAAAGAACAGTTACTTGGCTTTTACTGAAGACTTAAATCTGCAAATGACAGGAGGAATTTCCCCCAAGATTTCTAGAGACTAACCAACCATCATAAAGCTGCGATGAAATAACTCTAACCCAGGTAAAAGCAAGCTTAGATTAGAGATGTTGGGGCTGAAGTTATCTGAATCCATTATTAACCAGAGGGAGCTTCATGAGGCGGATAATATTATCATGACCGACAACTCACTGATTTCTCCAATGATCAGGTGACCTTTTGTTGACGTCCTAATTCTGCTGGACTCAGTCATTATGTTTAGATTCTGAGTGTTTCTGGTCCTGTTGACCGATGTTTCGGTGTATTTCCTCTAACTCCAACCCAAGGTGTTTTTGTTTAACACTCCTGGCTGCATTCACTGTGACATATGCTGATTTTCTGTACTGTTTTCTGATCATTTAAACCTTTCGTTCCTCAGCACATGTGTGATGCAGAAATGTCAGCACTCAGAGGAAGAAATATGACTTTGTTCAGATTTAAAAGTTTCAGAAAAACAGTGCAGATTTTATCGCACCTTTGAACTGGCATCAAAGCCTGGGGTGAGGGAGGGAGAGAGACTGCACGAAGTCCTGGCCTTGTGTTTTTCATACATTTATAGACAGAACAAATTTAGGCGTGTGGAGCAGCACCTGACTGTTAGCTGCTTGCTAACTAACTAACTAACACACACACACACACACACACACACACACACACACCTACAGTTTTATAAAAAGTCAAAGTGGTTACAGCTGAGAATGGTAGAAAGGAAACTGATGAGTGGCCAAAGGAAAATAATAATCATTAGCAGAAGAAGAATTAGTCCAAAGTATTAGATCAATAGGTAATCAATAGGTAATCAATATATAATTAGCACAAATATCCTGGATTATTTGAGAGTTGAAGAGTTGAACAAATACAAACTTGGGTTACACAATCCTGAATTAAATGAAACTAGTCAACATTAGCTGTTAAAATGTCTTTATGCTAGCAGTGATTCTGCGAGCAAGTCAACAGAGAGAAAACATAAGAATTATGATTTGAAAAAAATGGACACAAAGCATTCATGTACATTTTTTTGCAATGTTTGTGTTTAGTGTTTGTTAGTTTAGCTTAAATTATTCTTCAGTTACATTAATACAAAAAATGACACTTATCTCTTGACAGAGAAGCACCAACAGCTGAAGAAACGTGACTCTGGTGACCCCTGCTGTTGTCCTGCAGATGTAGGATAAAGAAAGAAGAGTGGGTGTTTGTCTTTAAATAAAATACAACAGTAAATGTGTTCATGTTCATCAACCAATGAAAGTTGAGGAGCTGATTTTTAAACATCTCTTCCGAGGTGTGTTGTTTGGGATTTATTGGTAGCGTTTTTAGATCAATAGCATCTTCTAAAAAAGGTTAAGTTAAAAGTGAAGTTCACAGTTTTGTTTCATTGTGATATGTTCTACGTAGATTTATGTTGGATAAAGATATATAAACTCAGCTGTGCAGTCAAGTCTTCATTAAGGCTCAGCCAAGCTAACCTTCTGCCAGCTTCCACATGCTAACATGCTATAGTTAGAGTTTGATATGTGAATTCAGGTCAACTGTGTGCCTGGCCCCTTCTCAGCCAGTATAACAGTACACACACACACACACACACACAAAGGAGGGGCCGTCCTAACTGTGTGTGCATGTCTGTTCATTTGAAGCCAACTGTTCTACAACTTAAACACTCTTATCTCCTTTTTTCTCTGTCCTTCACTTCCTCACTCACTCTTCTTTCTTTTATCCCTCCTTTTACTCACCTTGGTGTTGTTTTCCTCAGCCTTTTCCTTCTGCCCTCCCTCCGTTCTCTCTCCCCCGACCCTCTCTCTGCCCTCCCTCCAGTTTTCCACTCTGCTCTGTTCTGAAGTGTGACTGTGAAGAACTGAAAAAACTCAAACCGAAGAAAATGATGCAGCTTAAGTTGTAGATGTTACATGTGACCTTTAGGACATAGTGAGTAGGAGACAGCCTTAAGATTCTACGACAACCACTTTTCACCAGCTTTTCTTCTTACTGGCTGCACAAAGGAAAACATTTGCAGAATGTGGACCAAGTTTCTTCAAGGGTTTCTTCAGCTGCCCCTGCTGGGAGTGCTGCTCTGTCTGGTGGATGGCAAAGGAACCTTTTATGGAGGTCATGGGATCCCACTCTATGGAAACAGATTCAGTGGGTTCAGAACTGGACTCAACTCTCAGCATTTAACAAATAAACCCATAACACGTCACAAGTAAGTTCTCATCAGTTTTTTGGGGGTTTGAAAATGCAGTGGAATGTGTAACTGATGTGAATTCTCTCTGTCACGTGTTTTCTGAACGTCAACAACAGACAGACACAGACATCGAGTTTTTCTGCTAGACTGTGACAAGCAGAACTATAGAGGTAGAGTAGGTGTGAAATGCCCCTTTAATTTTTCTTCTACAGCTGCAAAGTGAAGGTCTGGAGCAGACGTTCTCAACCACAGTCCTGAGTACTGGGTCACTGTGTGGGGACAGACAGGAAAAAATGTAAACCTTTTTCATTTGAATGATTATCAGTATAAAATATTTTATTAAAAATATAAACCATATTTCAAGCACTTTTAACAGAGGTGAGAGTGAAGAGTAAAAGCCTTCTTTAATAAAAAGGTAAAGTTCAGAGACTGCAGAAAGTCTTCACCATCAAAATAAAAGACAGTTCCATCCAACAGTTCTACTGAAAGAACGGTTCCATCACCACAGCTGACAGTCACCTGATGAACCCTCTGTGCTCTTCACTTTCATTTTGTCACTGAGTTTTGTTAGAATATTGACGCACCTTCATCTGCTGTCCAGGATAAAGAAAAAACCGTGGTGGGAAAGCAAAGGCGTCATTGTTGCCTGTGAACAGAAGAAGATCTGAGTGAGGGGGAAGACAAATATTTGTTCAACCTGAATTTTTCACTTTCATCACAGTTCCTTCATCAACTGGAAACAACTGTCTTTTATATACATACAGTATAATATATTTCAATTTTTCCAATGTTACACAAGCCTTTTGAAAGAAATAACATCACATGACCATGTTGGTGGTTTAGTTCCAGTAAAGACACCTTCTCTCTCTGTGGCTAACGCACTACATGCTAGTTCATTGATAATAATCATTAAACAGAGATTTCAAGGGAACCAGGTTTAACTCACCTCAATACCAGAACATCTGAAAACAGAACTGCAGACTATACCTTTAACCAATGTGAAATAGACCTTCAAGACCTGGAACTCATTCATGGAGAGCAACAGACCCTGGAAGGGAGCTGTTAAGCTGCAGATTTACACGATTTACCCCTGAGGCAGTAGGTCTGACTTTGAATTATTACAAAGAAGGGGGTGCAGTTGGGAGGGCCACATCTTTAGGGTTAGATCATTAAACAACCAGGTCCCACAGTCTGTAGATTCCAAACAGTAATGTCAGAAGAAAAGCTGGAATTCTTTGGTCGCAGCAGAGGGTGGAGTCATGGAAGCTGGATCTGGTTTCATGGTCCTGTAGATGTTTCCTGTGGAGCACCTGTCCAAAAACCATTGGTCCGTGTACCTCTTTATCTATGGAGGTTGAAAAGATCATTGGGCATTCTGGAGTTCTGTATACTAAAGAATTTAATGGAGTTGATGGAGTCATCTGGGGTTGGGTGGGAATGAACTTATGGGGGTTTTCCTCCTGTTCCCAATGGGACTCGACCGATGTTCTTACTCGTGCTCAGTTTTGCCGACTCTTCGGTGAAAAATGTACTGGCTAATAACATAAGATGCTAAATGATGGTATTAACTATTAGGCTTAATTATCAATGAAGACGCCATAAGAGGGTCAGTCAGAAATGTCTAAGAACAAGGTCAAAAATATACGTATCATATATCAGGGTCTGAAAACTTTAGCTGCACGCTTCCATCTGAGAACTCCTTCTGAAGGATTTTAGCGACACCATCTGCTTCAGGTCATAACCTTTGCTGACCAAAAAGAGTGAAATTACATTTTTTTCATATATTAATTCATTTCAGGAAAAGAAAAAAAAATAGATGGCGTTAAACCTAGGCTGTATACGGTAGGAAAGATTTCCCAAAAATAAATCTCTGCTCAGGTTTGTTATCATGAAAAGACATCTTAGCTTCCAATTGATGAATGTTTCATTTTCTTGATTTTCAGATTTTCAATGACAAAGCTTTGCAGATCCAACAATTTGAAAGCATGTTCAGACTCTTTCAAAATTTTAAAAAGGCCAAACCGTATGAAGGTCATATTTCTTTGGCTAATTGCAGTGACTGTGGTCATCTTCCACCTGGAGCACTTTGACACTCCCAGGTACCAACAAAATCACCAGAAACTGAAGCGATCTAATGAACCTGCAGCAAAGCTTGACTCATTTTATCAGGTTCAAACAGTTTGGATAAAGGACCTTCATTTGCTCTAACTTGAAAATTAGTTCTGATTCAAAGGTCACACAGCCCAACACTTGACAAAGACAACACTGGTCACAGCTGTTGGAGACAGAGACCAGTCTGAACTGGCTTTAGTCATGAACATCAGACACCTGAAGAAATGACTGTTCCAACTGAACCCAGTACATCATCGTGAGAAACTTCTGTATGCCAAATAACTTGTATTTAATTAACTATTGTCCTGAATCTTTTTGAGGTCAATTCACTTCTTTCACATCTGTGCCTCTCTGAACATCCACTTTCTCCAGACGTGGCAGAAGGTTGTGAGTTTAAATGAAAGAAGCACCAACGTTTGAGCTGAATGTCCGAACTGTGAACGTGTTAACTGGGCGTGAAGCCCAGCTCAGCTCCTGTTTCAGACAAACATGATGGTCTGTCCTCAAGCAGCTGTGCAGCACGTGTTCTTGAAACTCCCCTCTGAATCTGAGACATGTGAGCCCACCCAGACCAGATGATCTTTTCCTGAGGTCACTGAGGTGAAAAAGAAAAAAGGAGGTGGAGCCTCAGCATGATGTCATACAACGTACACGTTAGTGCTTTCATTTTTGACCATACATTGAAAATGCAGTCTTTTAAAGAGTGCAATTGATCAAATGAGTGCAAATGATCCATGACCCTAGAATCTATGGCTCTACTATCTACGGCTCTATGATCCATGACCTACCGATCTATAAACTACAGATCTATGATCTATCTCTACCAGTAAGTTCCTGATCTGTAGCTCTGTCTCTATGGTTACCTGGACAATGTGTCTCTGTCTGTCTCACTGTACAATTACTGACTGTGATGCCTAGTGATGGTCAGTGACGTTAAAGGTCAGTGGTGGTCAAATATCTAACACTGTGTGTCTTATGGCTCTCTGTCCTGTTCCTTCAGGAATCTTTGTGCCTATGTGGTGGAGAAGAACGTCACATGCCCGGTGCAGGATGAGGTGAAGACTTATGTAAAGGCCGACTTCACCAGCAGGTGCACATGGGGTCAGAAATGCCCGGTCATCACGTGAGTCACAACAAACTCCCATCATTCAAAGCTTCAGAGTTTTACAACCATTTTCAGACTTTTGGTTTTGAAGGTGGTGTCACACTGTACACACGTGTTACTGTACTGAGACAATACTGTCATCTGGTGTCCACATGGTGAAAGTACTGTTCACAGGAAGTGACCTGCAGAGGGGCAGGGGGAGACCCCTCCTCGAGTCTGAATTACAAACAAGTAAATGATCATTAACTGACATCACTACTGTGTGTGTACAGTCCGTGTGCAACATACCTGACTGTAGTCTACAGGTACTGTAGACTGTAGACCTTGTCATTTTCTCACCATCTCTCTGCAGGTACAGGATCCTCCACAGACCAAATTACAGACTGGGCTTGAAGAAAGTGACCGCACTGGAGTGGAGGTGTTGTCCTGGTCACACTGGAGAACAGTGTTTCCATGGAGCCCCGCCCTCACCTGACATCACGTCCGCAACTGGACCCTTTCCAACTGGACGGGAAAAATCAAATCCTGGTAACAGCAATTTTTTTTATTACGCAACATGCAGCAAATATTTACTCAAAACAAAAAGAAGAAAATCTCATTAAATATGTGAGATGGATAATATATACACACTGCTATTGCACAACACACTAACATGAGTATTTTGCACCACCACAGACCAGGCTGACAAACCATATACCATGAAGATTAAACTGCAGACTTCCAGTGAACTAACTGTGTGACATGTTAACATTGCTGTCTGTTTTCCTTGCTGATACAGGAATAAAGGTGGGAACTCCTGGAGTGGGCGGTGAGCGGCTGCAGCGCATGGAGGAGGACCTGCGTCTCCTCACCCAGGGACTGGACACTCTCAAGGGTGTGGTTACTGGCTTGGAAGAGCGACTGCGTACTTCCCTGCAGGAAGACATAAACAAACTGCTGGTTTTCCTGCTGCCGACCAGTCCACGTGTATCTGAATCACTTGTGGGATTTGGTGCAATCACGGACGGAACAGAGAGAAGAGAAAACGTACTTGGGTTTGGAACATTGGCAGAAAAGGTGACAGAAGTGAGAGACGAGCTCCGTGCCAAGGCTCACGTCCTGGAGGAAGTACAGGTAAATGTGAGGTGTCTGTAGATTTAGGACCCACTGCTGCAATAAATCACCTTTTACCCCAGTATGTACTTTGTATGTCTGTAGGGAATGGTCCTTGGTCACGATGGACAGCTGAAGAGGCTGCTAGAAGGCACACCAGTCCATCCCGTCACTGGCCAGGGCCCAGATGCTTACATTGATGAGATTCTGAACAGGAAGTTGGCAGGTATGCGGTCTGAGATCTATGATGGATTTGAAAACCGTCTGACTGGTCTAGAAAACAACTGTGATCAGAAGATAGGGGAGGTACAGCAGAGGTGCCACCAGGAGCACATGGACAGGCAGGAGAAGATACAGCAGACTCTGGATGGGACAGAATCAGGTATCAGGCAAGAGCTGGGCTCCATCCAGGCCCAGATCCAGGGCTTAACCACAACTGATGGCTGCTGTGGACAGGTATGGAACCCTTACACCCAGCATGGCTTCTTACCCCCTACCCTCTGATTAACAGACAACCTTCTCTACCCACTGAGGCCCTGCCACAGCTGGTCAGAAGTCGCTGTTGTAAACAGTATTTTTGTAGCTGAGACAGATGTAGTCAGACTGAGACCAACAACCTTCACTGACCTCTTATGCAGAGTGAATATATGCCTTACTTTGCTCCATGCAGGTGTAATGTCTCTAATGATCACATGACCTACTGATGTCTGCAGGTCAACACCCTGTTGCAGCGGGTCCTGCTGTTGGAGGAGTCTGTAAAGACGTTGTCAGAATCTCAGAGGCAACTTCAGCGTGACCTGACGGAACACAACAACCATCTGGAGGCTCTGATCCAGAACAGGGTGGTGGGCACAGAGGGGGAGGCAGGGAGTCTCCCTGGTGACCTCATTGGGTTTAGGACCATCATGGAGGAGAAGATGAAAACCCTGGAGAAGAAAGTGTTGGTAGCAGTTGAGGAGTTGGGCAATTCTTCAGCCCCTGCTCCTCTGGAGGGGCAGGTGGTGCCAGCACTAGAGACAGCGATGGAGTCTGTGAGGAGAATGGAGGGAAACATGAAGAATATTCAGAATCAACTGTTAGACCTGGAGCTTCTTTGCACCTCCTCCTGCTCCTCCTCCAGACCTCCAGCAGGCAGTATCAGGGAAGGGGAGAGGATGGAGGAGAAAATAAGTGACCGTCTGGAAGAACACTCTGAGCAACTGGATCTCCTGAACAAAACAGTGCAGAAGCTGCTCCACAGGATGACACAGGAGGACACCGAGGACTCCGTGCAGGGGGAGATCACTCTGCTCAAGGTCAACATCAACTCAGTCAACCGTACATTAAAAGGCATCAAAGACTCCATCAGCTTCATAGCCAGTGAGGTGGGCCAGGCCAACTCCACCTGGCGTCAGAGGGAGCACCAACTGTTTGATCAGGTGCAGGGCATCACCAAACTGGTCGGCCACCAAGCCACTCTCCTGGGTGCAGGAGAGAGACGGCTGGCCCAGCTGAAGGCAGAACTGGTAACTTTACGGAAGCAGCTCGCTGGCGATGTGCAGGGCTGCAGGAGCACAGCTGTGGAGGTGCAGAGGGAGGTGCAGGGCTTCGACAGCAGGGTGAGCCAGGTGGAGAAGCAGTGCAACAACCTGGGGGAGCTTGCGGAGCACCTGGAGATGATCAGGGCGGAGCTTGAGAGACACTCGGACTGGTACCTGGCCCAGGTGAACAGCACTGTGGCTGTTCAAACATAAGGAGCACCTGAGCTGAAGGACCACGTCCAAGACTTTGGAACTAAAGGGGCAGCCAAGAAACCAGAGAGAGAACCAATAGCTAATGAGCTACACGCATTACACACTCACCTCAGTCATATTATACTGTCAGGTCAAAGGTCAGACTGAGACAGTGAGACGCAGCCCAATGAAAACGCATGTAATCATGTACCGCTGTTAACAAAATGATACAGTACATTATGGGGGGGCTGGGGGTAGCATCATGAAGGAAAAAACAGCCACTAAATTAATTACTCTGATGACTAACAAATGTATATATTTTTAATTCAATGGTCGATAACTTTTGTTTAAATATTTTGACGTGAAAGGAGTTATTTTTACTGAAGTTAAAGTTTGTAACTCCTTGAAGACTATCAGTGTCAGTACAATGCTCAGTGACTCTAAAGTCTGACCTTTGACCACTGACAGTCTGATTCCAGCAGCTGGAGACATGTGGTCTGTGACATCATCTCTCTACATGTAATTTTACTGATGTGGTGTAAAAACAGCTGTAGTCAAGAAACCAACCTGTGTTATGGATAATATATGACCATTAAATAGTCAAATATATTCTTCATGTATTAAAACATTTTCTCACCTGGTGTTCATCATCCTCTTAGCTTTCCCGGAAGTCTACATCATCGTCATGATTAAGTCACAGTTATGGGATATTACAGAAGAACCTCTGACACCACAGATGAAAAGGAATACAAAGAAACTCAGGAACTGTTACGTGTTTAGGGGTAAACTTTGACCTTAACCACCAGTTAAGACGAGGGGAGCACTATAGGACAAATGTCAATCATCAATGAAAAAAAAAGATTGATGTCAGGCTGACGTCAGCTTCTCCCAATACTCACTGAGAAAATTCACTGGTTTATTATTGTTGTTTCCTTTGATACAAAAATAACAGTTTAATAAAATACAAACAATACGAACTACAGCCTGAGCTGGGATCACTGGATTTAAATGAATGTTTGTAGTCGGGTGGCTGGCATCACCCTGTGGATCAAAGACACAGGTATTTACAATGATTAGTGTTTAAAGACTGTCGAGAACCAGCGCTCATTTACAACAACAGTAAACTTCACAGTCCTCTCCTTCAGGGAAGTTCTCCTAGGTGAGCCTTAAAACTCCCCTTAAATTTACACTCTAATATGAATGAATAATGCCTGTGGTGACAGAGCTTCTGATTCTCTGCATTAGGAATGTATTCACCAGTCAAAATGCTGTTGTGACGTTTTGTAATATGACACCGATCCCTTGTCAAAGACAAGAGCAGCTCCGAGGGTAAACTTGGAAATGAGGTCCATTGAGAAGCTGAAGCTCATTGGTCTAAAGGGGGGGGGGTGCTAAGACAGATGGGAAGTGTCATCATGACCTTGATGCTGGGATGATGGTCACATTTTTGGTTCTGCAGTGAGAACTTTGACAGTAGGACCATGGCCCCACTCTCTGACCCTTCAAAAAAACCAAACCTTGTCATCTCTAGTGTCCTGAGACCACTGTTAAAATCACAAACAACAATATTTACACAGTGATCATGACGTAGCTTCACACCTTTTCAGTTTAAACATTATTTCTTAAAAACAACTGGAGTAAAAAAAAAAAAACTAAACAAAACACTGCAATAAATCAAGACAATTTAAGGCCACAGTCTCATCAGGGAACAGTCCCTTCATGTAAACTGTTAGACGACGTCTGTCAGCTGATGGGTTCAGAACCCAGTGTCAGCTGATGGGTTCAGAACCTAGTGTCAGCTGATGGGTTCAGAACCCAGTGTTAGCTGATGGGTACAGAACCCACAGTCAGCAGATGGGTTCAGAATCCAGTGTCAGCAGATGGGGTCTGAACCCAGTGTCAACAGATGGGTTCAGAACCCAAAGTCAGCAGATGGGTTCACAACCCACAGTCAGCAGATGATTTCAGAACCCACAGTCAGCAGATGGGTTCAGAACCCACAGTCAGCAACACAAAAGAACAAAGGCTCAACAACATGCTCTGGTCACCATGCCAACAATGACATGAGATGGTAAGTGGACTCATTGGTGACCTGTTCATTGTGGGGTCAGGTGGATAAGGTCACCTCAGGTGGAAACGGTCACCTGTCACACACAGGTGTGTTTCTCAGCTGCTTCCATGTTTTAGTACCAATAATATACATGGTTTTTTAAAGCATTAAAGACAGATGAAATCATCGCTCTGTTTGCTGGAACAAACTTCTGACAGTCTCTGGATGTAAACAAACATGACCAACATGACTACTATGTCAGCCATGACAGACACCGGTGTTATTGTGTCTGAGTCACATGACTGTTTCTGTAGCACACCTGTGTCAGGTAAGGTGGAGGAGCAGGAGAAGGAGGAGAGCGAGCTGGAGGAACAGGAGGAATCTCCTTCTTTGTCAAACATGTCATCACATCAACAACACAACAAATGAAAACTGAACTTTTTTGTCCAAAAAATTGTCAAAAGAAGAAATAAAAAAGAGAAGTCCCGCCTCCCTTTTAAAGAGCGCCACACACACACACACCTTTGTGTACTATGTAATCATCAGATCTGTGTACACCACAGCTGACCCCTGCTGGCTACTCTGATACTGCAAATGCCGACAGTCTGGGTTTCTAGAATTTTTTGTTGAGGTTTGAATTAATTTTAATTTGATGAAATGAGCCCAGTCATGTGATACAGACACTGTGTGGAGTCACACACACACAGCAGCGGCTGATTCATTCATCTGCACTTCTGCTGGAAATAAACCCTGGGGCATTAACACAGGGGAACATCAACAACAGACTTTATAAAAAGATCAATAATTTATAATGAACTCAGTTTAGAATTTAGTTTCCTTCAATTCAATGTTTGACTATCTACTGTCAAAGTCCAGATGTCTTCATGTAGTACGTGTAGTTAAGTATTCTAAGGTGTTTTCTGCTTGAAGTTCTCATTAGTAAACATTAAAGTAAACTTTAAAGAACATTTCCTTCTTCTGCTCCTTGTTCCTCAGGCTGAACATCTGCCTCCTCCACTCTTCCACCACCATCTCCACCTCCTCTATACACAATCCATGAATCTTCTCCATCCCAGTAGCTGCATCACCAACTAGCCCTCTTCAGCACATGCCCAACACCTTCACCTAGGGTATTACTTCATTGTCTGATCATTTGTAATCCTGATTAATCTCAATCTCTTCATCTCCACCTACAGCTCAGCCTCCTGTCTGTATCACAAGACACAAACAAAGAACCTGTCAGTCAAGAGGACAAACACTGGCCACACACACACACATTAAATTTATACTGCATACATCAGGACTGTGTGTGTGAATGCCTCACCTCTTTCAGTGTTATATACCTACAACACCCTGAGCAGCTGTGATGTCCTTACTGACTGACTTTTGTGGTGAGTGAGAGTAAAAAATGAATGAGAGAATAAACAGGAGCTGAAGGCTGAGGTAAACCATGATGAAGATGATGATGATAAAGACTCATGTCCATCTGGATTCATTCTGTGATTGGTCCCACATGTGTCTTTTTGTCCTTACTACATGTTTGTTTAAACAGGGTGAAGTGAAGAGAGAAACAACATCATCAGTAGTCGGCCACAGGCGCAAGGTTTCTGCTCAGGCTGACGCTGATGTTTGTGTACAGCAGCCTCTTGGACACCAGGGGGGAGTAGTTGAGGTTGTTCAGACCATCAACTCTCTGTCGTTCCTTTGAGTGGCGTAGCAGACTGAACCTACAGGAGGTGCAATGACAAAGGTTTTATGAGTCCTTTTTGATTTCTAGTTAATGGTCTGAGTGAGTTCGATTTATTTTCTAATTGTGTACTTGCTGATACCAATGACCGACCTAAAGGCAGTGTTATAATGTCATGGATATAGGTGAGATGTGTGTGTGTGTGTGTGTGTAAGACTGTGAGTGTGTGTGTGTGTGGGCTTGTGTGTGAGAGAGTGTGAGTGTGTGTATGTTAAAGCTCAGGTCAAACCACAGTATAAATACTCTTTGTGTTTCAGGCCTGGTAATGAGGCAGAGGTCCCGTCTTGGTTAAACCTGTTCTGATCCTGACATCTGAGGACCTGTGATAACGCTGTCTATTGTGCTGACAATTGATTACTTACAGTACGTCTTCCAGAAAGGAAAAGAGCAAGAGTAATGCAGAATGATTTATGTTAACTTTTATTTGAAGATATTTTGTTTGATAGCTGTCGTTGACGTCAGATGACGTAGTGTTCTGTGTTGTCTTTAAAATATTGATTTGTTCACAGGTTTCTTGTCAACTTGAGAAAAATGTGTTGTTCTGTACTGGATTGTTCATTCTTTCTTCCATGTTGTGAGTGAAAACAATTATATACACACACACACACACACACACATATATATATATATATATATATATATATATATACACATAGATATATACAAATATATGTACATACATATATGTATATATATACACACATATATACATATACATATACACACATAAATATATAAATATAAATATAAATATAAATATATATATATATATATATACATACATACATATATATATATATATATATATATACACACACATATACACACATGACTGAACACACTCACCTCCCAAGGAACTGGACTTCCCCACGGTGGTGGTGTTGGATTGACATGTATCGGCCCAGCTCTCTTGGCGGTCGGCTCACCGTCAGGTTTGCCAGTTGAACTCTGTACAGATACAGTAAGCAGACACTTTAGAACTAGGGTGAGGAATAGGGTAAGGACCGGTACTGCCGTCTACTCAGTCCAGGTACCTTCCTACATTTCTTGTGCATGACCACAGTTCCTCCTCTCTCTCAAATACCAACATCACATCATGTTTATGTGGCTCAAACCATCTGAGAATAAATATGAAAATAAATGTGAGGGTTGGTGGTTAAGGAAGCTGACTTGGGTTTAGAAGGTTTCAGGTTCTAGTCCACCAGCTGCGGGGCACCGAGCATGGCACCGTACCCACACACTGCCTCCTGAGCTGCCCCCCCCCCCACCCCACTCACTTTGGTGACACATAATTCCTTTGCACTAAATAAATGTTGCTGTTTTATTCTGGAAGTCTGCTTTTAACGTGACCGTAGAATCCACCCACTACCTAATCAAATTAGTAATGACCTTAATGGTATTGATGGGGAGGACCCCCCCTCAGGAAATGTTCACAGATTGGTGAATAGCCTTAGTAAATAGTGTGAATACCAGCTTGTGAACTGTAGTGTGAAACAATGAGAAGGAAACTGACCTGTTCCAAAGGTCATCGTCCTCTCCTCCCCACCCCCAGAATGCATTGGGAAATCCATTAATCTTCCTAAACTGCTCCACTGTCAGCCCACTGACACCACCAAAGAACTCATTGTATGGAAGCCTGAAAGAAACAGTTGCATTGAATATAATGATGAGGGAACACACACATAAACACATTAAAGTGTCATGGCTCACATGTACGAGTACTTGTCGAGCTTGACTGCGAAATGCCGTGGCATGTGTGTGCAGCCGTAGTAGTTCCTGTCATTCTCCACTAGGTGGTCCACATCATGAAAGATCAGACAGTCCCAGTGCTCATCCTTCATGGCCTCCTTGTAGCCCACGTTGAACAACATGGCTCGGTTGAATGGCTCCATGCCCCTCTGAGAGGACCAGACCAAAATCAGTTCTAGATGAAACCATTGGTACCTTGTATCTGCGAACATTTAGAGAAGGAAGAAACAAAGTCGGTTCCGTCTGTTCATACCTGCTCAATGACGTAAAAAGCAAACTGCAGCCTCTGTCTCTGCAGCACTGGCACAAGGTGTTTGAGGAGAATGGGTAGGTGTTCAAAGCGGTTCCTAAACGGTACCAGGATGGCCACCTGCAGACACACAGCACAGTACTTGGGTTCTACAGAGAGAAGTGTCAGGAGTGGTGGTGGCCTAGTGGTAAAGGAAGCGGACTTCGGAAGGCCCCAGGGTCGAATCCACCAACTGCCATCGTCCTCAAGCACTGCTCCCCGGGCGCTGACCACGGCTGCCCACTGTTCACTTTGGTGATGGGTTAAATGCAGAGGTTAAATTTCATTGTGCATGGTGTGCTGTGCTGTGCTGTGTCACAATGACAAATAAAGATAAGTTTTTTTTTTAAGAGTGTGTCATGATGTTTGGAGGATGACGGGTCAGCCCTGAAGGTTCCATGAACCTGGAGGCTTCAGTCCAAATGTTCTGGCCAGAACGGACCAGAACGGACTCTGTGGTGATTTAAAATAATAATAATGAGGTTAAAGTGGCTGACGTTCTGCTCTGTGGTGATTTAAAATAATAATAATAATAATGATAATGATAATAATAATAAAGTCTGTCTCTTAACTTTGACAAAGTGTTGAAGAAGCTCCAGGTCTTTAACTTGTTGTTTTTTAGGGCCTGACAGGAACCAGAGCAGATGAAGCTGACTATGAGCTGATCGGTGGATGACCAGTTCAAATCCTGACTGTAGTTGAGTGCAGCCCCTGTGGCTTTTATTACTGGTTTGCCAAAAACTACTACTTTAATATTTGGGTTCTTTTTCCACAACATTTGAATATTCTTGTGTTGGCAGTAATGTCTGCTGCCTTGGCTTAAGCCTGCAGGGGGCGACACAGACAGATACCTTGCCAGTTGTTTGTATTTGTATGATGGTCCTGTGATGAACTGGCCAGAATGAAGCCTCACTCCAGGTCATCATGTTTTAGCAGTTTAGTGACAACAGTGTTTACACTCTGTCTGGAAGTCCAACACAAACACAAGGAACCAGAAGTGTCTGTGGCACAAAGCCAAAACTGTCAGTAGTACAATGATCAAGCTGCACTCAGACTACAGTCAGTGATTTAGCTTCTACACATCCATCCATCATCCATCATCCATCCATCCTTCTCCACATACCTTCCATCGGGGTAAACAGTCTGTGGGCTTCCAGAATCCTCCAGGAGCTGTGCTGGGCTCTGCCTCTAATAAAGATGTCTCCACCTCCTCCAGAGAAACTTCACTCATGTTCACCAACATCCTGCCCTCTGAGAGAAAGTGAGTTTGGGGGGTGGGTGTGATGAAGAAGGGGAGGATGATGATGAAGGAAAACAAGTGATTACAACATCCTGTAAATAGAGATGAAAGCCACACACCAACCTACACTTCAGGTTTTCCTTCATGCTGTAGAAATCATGTGAAGACTGTGAGAATAAAGATGATGTTCCCTGGTTACTTAAGAACCCTAACCCTATGAGAAAAACAAATCTAAGAACAAATCAAGAGTTTTAGGAAAAGCTAAGAGGAGATGTAGAAGATAAGCTGTTAGAAGCTAACTGTAACAGTGGACTTTGGCCAAACCAAGTTAGAGTATAAGAAGAACATGATGAACATCCTGAAGACAAGACCAGTAAGAGTTGGGTTCAAGGATCAGCTCCACATGGACTTACTCATGGACGGCAGTCTCTCAGGACACAGCTGTGATGGGAGGAAGGTGAAGTCATCAGGGAGGTAGGTGGGGGGAGGGACTTCACTGTCACTCAGATTGAAGTCATATGCATAGTCTATACACACACACACAGAGACACACACACACACACTTTGTTAAGGCCTGTGTGGGTGAATTTTTGGAATTTTATATGTTGATTGATTAAAAAGACCTGTTTTTATGGATAAAATGAACTGTTCATCATCATGTTACACCAAAGGGGATCTGCATTTGTCATGGATCACCACAGTGGACCTGAACCAATCACAGCTGAGTGCAGGTCTATAGTTTTTATTTCTGTCAATCTTCTATTTCAGCCTGGTGAAAATCACTTGTTTACTACAGTGTTCAAAGTGAGTATGCTGTTGTTGAGTGACCAGAGTAATGACTGACAGTGAGTCACCCCCTCCATCACCTGTTAGCTGCTCACCAGTGCCGTTAAGACTGTATGCTCCTCTCACCACCTGCTCCAGAACTTGTGCACCAATATTCCTCACGTTCTCTCTGATCTGGATCCCCCTGGCCTGAACCATGAACATGTACTCATTCACTGTGGAAAGACAAGTTCAACAACAATAAGTCCATTTCAAAATAGTACAGAAAAAAAAAATCAGCATTGAGCTATAAAGATAAAACTAGAATATTATTATGTCCTAATGTAGAGCATGAAAAATCTGATTAACTGTTCCCCCTCATGAATTATTATATATTTTTATAATATCAAAATACATGAACACACCAATCTGTCTTCAGAACACCCCCTTGTTTTCATTATTGTGGACTAGCCCAACCCATAGACAGACAGATTGAAGAACAAAGAAGAAAACAGAGGTGAATTGCTGAATTTTGAGCAGTTCATTTACAGTGAGTCTCCTCCACCATGTCAAAGACATCCACAGTGTGGCAGCATTTTACAAAAACACAGAAGTATAGAAAAAAGTTGAATGAAAAGTTTACATATCACAGCTCAACTACAAACATGGCTCTGTCCATTTTGAGTATCTGAACATATCAGAATTGGCATATTGAATATTTTACTCTAATACTCGTTTTATAACAACAATGGCAGCATCCCTCAGACACATCCAGACCAGGCTGGATGTTAAGCCTCCTTTATCATCCAGATGCTTTATTTTTTTAGTTATTTCATTTCTGCACTCGTCTCAATCTGAGTGGTTTAAGGAATGTTTTTTCTAAAAGTGGGTTAGCCTTTTGTGTTTAAGAGTAAAGGTTTAAACCTAATAGTCTATTCATGTCTCGGCCACAAATCTGAGCTCCTGTGTTAAGTCACGCTTTGCGCACAGTGAGTGAAATGATGGCGTCTGTCAATTATTAAAATATGACGAAAATAATAAAATATTCCTCAACAGTTCTTGTACTGATATCACTAGCTGACATATTATATGTTATTGGAAATCATGGGCTCTGATATTGTGCAGACATATTACCCACAGACGCCACTTTGTAGTTGAGTTCAGTGCAAAATGATTAGGTCAAAACCAATTTGATATAAAGCAAAGAAGCTAGTAGTGTTTTACAGGTTCAGTCGATAAAGACTTTTTGGTTGATTACAGCCCTAACACACACACACACACACAACCTCCCTCCCTCCCACACCTCTTCTACAGACAGTTATCTCCACACTGACAGCTCAGCAGTGGTGGGTGTGTGTGTTCTGCTGCCATGCTGATAGGAACTCACAAAGACAGTTAGTGCTGAACACAACCCTTACTCTGTCATCAGACTTAATGTAGTTTCACAGCTGAACTATTTAATCAGACTGTTGGAATTCCCACTGCAGTATTCTGTGTTACCCAGAATATTACAGGGTGTTGTTTCAGGACTGATATCATGTCTTTTGGCCTGTGTAAGCCAGTAGATGGCAGTAATAAACTCAACTGATAAGAGGATCCACAGACTCAAACAACTTTTTCTAATAACCAGGCTGTTGGATTGGAAGTTTATAAACAAAGTGCTGAACTGCACATTGCTGTTCTACAGTTTATATGTATCAGCTGTAGGAAGTGCCAACAGAACTGAAGGCAGGAGATGTCACTATTTCTAGTTCTCACTAAAACAGACTGCACCTCTTAGGTAAATGAAGGCAAATCCAACACATTGTTGTCTGGAATGGTCTCTTAATGTAAGAGCTATTTGTGAAGGCCGACCATTAAACTGTAACTTGTCATCTGGAGCAGGAGTATTCATATATATGTAATAATTAAAAATAACTTTATTTATATAGCACATTTCATACCGTCATGTAGCTCAAAGTGCTTTAACAGTTTGATCTACATATATATATATATATATATAACCAAGCCATCATTGTCATTGTGGCTGGCAAGTTTTGCATTCAACTTTTTTTTCCTGTACTCTATTTTTTTAAAATGCAGCCACACTGCAGATGTCGTTGACATGGTAGAGGACAATGACAATGAAAATTGAGTAAATATTCAGCAATTCACCTCTGTTCTCTCTCTAGGTTCTTCAATTTGTCCGTCTATGGGTTGGGCTAATCCACAATAGTGAAAACAAGGGGGTGTTCTGAAGAAAGATTGGTACCTGTGAAACAGGGTGCGCTGAAAACACCCCCATACGCACTTACTATTTTCCTCCTGATGAAATTAACACAAAAATCAGAATTTTGGTCGAGCCAGAAGATTAACTATTAATAAATCAATCAGTCAACTTGGAGATTACAGGCCTACTGTTCTGTGCTCTTTCTGTGCTGTTCTATCAATACCCTACCTGTCAGACTAACAACATCTAGGTCTCTAAGGTCTTTCTGAATCTACCAAAAACTGCAGCTCACTTCAGAATACAATTCTGGTGCAGGAGAGGCACCGGGATTGTGGAATGATTTGCATTTTGGTAAGACGCAAAATTGAATGGTATTTTTTCTGTGACATTTTATCGACAAAAAATAAATTTGGTCCGATACCAAATACTGGATATTAGACACAACCCTGGTCCTGGGTTTCCTGTAGATTTAGCTCGGTCATCAGTTAGTACCCCAGTAGCACAGTGATGGTAAAAAAAAAAAGTGAAAAAAAATAGTTTAAAGCTTTATCATCCAAGCTTGTTAGAGGTCAAACACGGGTCAACTCAGCAATAAACAGTCAAAGGTCAATATAGCCAATCATTAATGGCATCTGTGTGAACTTTCACCATAAACACAGGTTAATGCTTCACATCCACACATTTTACTCTTCTCACACAAAACCATGGTTGGATTGGGATTATGTCCATAGATAGAACACAGACAAACAAACATCACTAACATAATCCTAACATAACATAACAGAATAATGTATTGCAATGTAATAAGTGGCGCTTTGGCCCAGAGGCAATGTCTCTGTCATTGGTGTGGAACCCCCAGGTTCACCTCCTGGGCAAGTTCAAATCCCGACTTCTTCTGCCGACTGCTGCCCCCGCGACCCGGTAACGGATAAGCGGATGAAGATGGATGGATGGATGTAATGTAATAATCAGCTGATAATCATCAATGACATTTAGGTGGCGCACACATAGAAACAAACAACTAGTGATGCACCGAAATGAAAATCCTATGCTGAGGAAACCTAGGCCGTAAACCTAAAAAACATTCTGCCAAGTACCAGGTCATTGATGGCTCTGACTGTGAACTAAACCTCAATAAAATCAAGGATATTGAATAAATGAATATTAATGTAAGAAACAAGAGGAGCTGCTCTCTTTAGTTAGCTGCTCCAACAGTGGCCGAAAATTCGGTGCACCACCACAAACAACCGTTACCACTCACATCCACCACTCACAGTTGACTCCATCCCCGTCTGTACTTTTTTTGTAGACTGTGTGATGAAAATGTAGAAAAAACAATGTGTGTGTGTGTGTGTAAGATTTGAATGTGTTCAGTAAGAATGGTGAACACCAGGTTCAGGCTAAAGCATCTTCCTCCTGAATTAATTATCAAAAACTGCACATTATTGGAACCCAGCCAGGAGCACAGGGAGTGGTTCAAACCGTGGTTCCACCACAGTGTAGTCAGCAATTGAGGAATTATCTTGGATAAACAGTCTGAGAAGGGAGTGTCAGAGAGCGTCAGGGTGTGTTGTTAAATGTTGTCAATGTGTTCAGCACAAGTCTCATGACGGTTAGGGGAGAAGGAGGAGTTCTGACTCAGAGTTGGATCAAGGAGTAGTAGATGAAGACTTTACCTCCACATTCCACTGCACTGTTGACTTGTTGTAACTTTGTGAACCTCAGTGTTAGTATTAGTGTTATAAGAAAAATAAGAAGGAAGGTTCATACAGCAGGCCCAAGGGGTTGGGAATGGTGGATACCGCTATCATTTCCAGAAGTGATGGACAGGAAGACAGATGAGGTCTAACTCACTGTAGAGTCAAAGTAATACAGTTGGATGAGGTCCAGTAGCTGGGTTGGACCATCCAAAGATATAGACAGTGGAGAAAAAATATTAGGAAGAGTTGGAATCAGGTTGGATTGAAGAGTGTCAGGAATGATGTAACATCATGTCACCAGCAGCAGTCTAGAACTAAAACTAAAAGGAGGAAGAGAAGACGCTGAGGTCTTCACTGGGAGTGAGCAGGAAAGACCAGATGAGCAATGAGTTATAAAGTTATCTGTGCCTGTGTGTTTTCAAATCACATAATGACATCACAACAATGGCGTATTCCACATTGGGGCTTTCCACTGATAGTCAGATAGGAGAGTTTTACCATTAACAGCGTATGTTTTTTTTGGACCAGAAACAAAACCTGTGAATACCCCCACACACACACACACAAAATGGTGAGGGTATTGACTGTACAAAGAGTAGCACATCCACAGGGTGCATACAGTGGTGCCACTGAACACTAGAACGGACAGTGGAGTCTTTAACCAGCCCCCTCCTTACTTTGACAAGTGTGATGAAAGGATTTAGCTAACAACGGTGTGTGTGTGTGTGTGCACCTGTTGTGATGTGACAGAAGATGACATACTTTTAACATGAGTTCCTGTGTTTTACAGACTGTAGAAACACAGAGTGCTCCCTTCTCTGTCCTCACCAATAAATCACTGCATGGATTCAATAGGTTCAGGTTACAATTAAAATATATCTGTTTATATGTTTACTTGACTGACTGGTGTTTCCTCACACTCCAACAGTATGGAGCTGATAATTGATGGACCTATTATTATTATTATTATTATTATTATAGACTGGGCCTCCTAATTCCAGAGCATTGACCACTAGCGCCTTGTCCGATATGTCACATGTCTCAGAAGTTGCTTTTACTCCGTCAAATACATCAAAAATGAAACCGCCACTTCGATATTGACTCACCGATTCCAGGGGCCGAGTACAAGAAGTATAATGCGGAGGTGGACAGCGTAAACAGGAAAATTAGCCCCAGGAATGACTTTCTTCGAAACCTCAAATGTGCTGGCATTATAATGCACACACACACACACACACACACACACACACACACACACACGATAATCTTCTTCAGTCCCACATCGACGAAAGAAGCGTCGATACTGATCAGGTGTCAGAGCCGAGCTGGAGCGTCCGCTGTCGAAATGAGTTGAGGAGGAGCCGCCGCTCTGCGGCACCAAAGGCCGACGGTAAGACAGAGCAGAGAGAGAGGCGCCGCGGCAGGAGGAGGAACGGGAAGCCCGTTTATTTCCGCGACAGGTCAATCAGCAGCAGCAGGAGGAGGAGGAGGAGGGAGGTGTTCAGAGAAGCCACATTACAGTCCTGAAAGATGGTGTGGGTTCACGTCGTCCACGATGTTGATACTGGCGTTGCGGGCCGGCTGTGTTTCCAGCAATGGACCTTGGTCTAGGTACAACACACAGGTGTGGTAGCTACTGATTAACGCCCAGCCGTCAACCAATCTGTCTATCTGTAAGACGGACCTGCCTTTTCACCGAAATGAACCGCACAAACAAGGGGCGTGACCGAAAGAGAAGGGTCGTTAATCATGCTCTCTTGTGGTAAAAGTCATTCCCGAAGCCCCTGCACCCTCGTACTCCCCACTAATCCTTATTATTAACATGCTCTAGATGTATTGCGCGTACAAAAACCGACGTCATCGTGACTTTCACGATCATTTAACCTGACAAGGAAAATTATTAAAAAGAAACGAATCGTTGTAACAAGCGCATGGATAATATTGTCATTTGGGTCGAAATGCTATGATTTTGAGTATGTTTATGGGTCTCTCCCCCCTCCGCCCTGCTTAGCAAAATAGACCAAACAGATCGCAGCATCTACACACGCAGGTGCTCTATTTTTCGTCCTTGATACAGCTACCTATAAACACAGTCGACTACAATACAGTGCTAACGATTGCATAATGTACCGTGTTAAGCATACATTGGCATCTATAAAACAGTGGTATCCACAGTACAATACAGTCTTAACTATAATATATTGTTAACTATTATACAGTACAGTGTTAGCAGTGTTATTGTTAACGCTGTTCTACAGTGCCAACTATAAGAACGTGCTAACTATAATATGCTCAACATACTGTTTTGCACTATAATACAGTTTCTGACTTGCTGGTGCTGTGGATATACAGGATGTGGTGAACGTGTCGTCCAAACTACAAATTCCTTGCAAAATCTGCTGAAAACTACAACTTCCTGCCTATGAGAGTTCCTATTTGAAACTGCAAGTTCCTGTATTTGGTTTGAGCAGGAGGTGGAGTCTGTAATGTCAACAGACACATGTACACATCGGACATGAGACCCATTGGCTTCACACAAAGACCCTGCTGCTCCATGTTTTAAGCGAGGTGTCAGAGAGAATGAAAGGAACCAGCCATGAGATATTGTTGCTGACCCTCCTCCTCTCTGTTATGAGCGCATGGTCTCTACAGACAGCACACCAGCAATCGTTGACAGAGGTAGACGACCACAGACAAGACAGGAGAGACGTCTCTGCTAAAAATGACAAAGCCGAGACAAACCCGGATGAAGAAGATCGAGGCGATGCAGACGGTACACCGATGGACGGAAAGCCCGTCAGGTCAGACACACCTTTGTTTTCCAGGATTAGCCGTCACGCTAACAAGAGCTATTATGCACTACAGGGTTTTATTTGAGTTGACGGGATCTGGTCTTCGCCGTGGTTTGTGATGTTGTAACTACAGAGTAAAACACATGCTACTGCATGTCAGTCTGTCTTCAATGGTAAATTAAATATATCAAAAATAACGTCAATGTACCAATTCAGTGTGTCAAACCGTTGACAAGTAACCAAGTTCTGAGAGTAACAGGAACGCGTCTACATTTTACAGCCGTTTTGAAAAAAACCGTTGTTCAGGTGAACATTCGTGTTTCTCCTGGTTTTACGGCTTTGGGGATGGGTGGTTGACAGTTAACAAAAGGGAACCATATTTAATAACAATACTTTAGAATACGCTTTTACAATATTAAAGACAATATAAACGTCCGGGTCTGACTAACTATCAAAACTGCCCGCTTGTGTCATCTACATATTCGACAGAACATTCATAAAACCTAAATAGAAAACTGAAATAATTCCTCATTCATTCTCTATGTGGTGTATCTACCTATCTACTTACTTACCTCTGTCTATCCATTTATCTTGTTTCCTACCATATCACCCTATGGTAACTGATGTTGTGATGCTTGTCTAGTGGAGGAAGGTGCAGGAGGTTAGGGCTGCTCTGCTCTGTACTTGAACCAGCAGCCGCATGGGTTACTCTGGCTTTTCCTAGTAGCAGAGCTTACGTTTGCCTCAACGGAAACACTGCGCTGGGTTTCAAAGAAACTGAGGTTCGACGCCACATGTTGTCTGGACGGTTTGTTTACGCCGCGGTGTTGGCAGGGAAATTCATCTAAAAATGAATGGCCTCCATAGCGTTTTTACGTAGTCTAAACATCACACTTTAAACTATCGGTTATGAGATCTTACAGTATAAAAAATGATAGGCTACATCTTACCGGGGTTTTTTCTTATCCCTGCTGGCTCCTTAAATTGGACGTGTCCACTTGAGTCGTCTTTGAGGGCCTTTGGGGTTCTTGTCCATTCGCACATTCTCGGCTCTTCTGGCGTCCCGGGCCACAACAGCTTATTGCCGTACTTGTAGCAAACTGCCGAACTTACTTACTAATTTATTTGTTTGTTTACCTTTTCCTGTTGGCAGCTGGCGGTTGGCATTGATAGCACTTTCCCGCCAACGTGTCGGTGGATTATCTTCGACTATGCATGACGGGCTGTGTGACGTCAACCCGTGTTCACGTGTTTATGTCTACGTCGATGCCCATCGTCAAACGGATAGCGCAGAGCGAGGATGAAGGAATTAAATAAAATATCTTCGCTTAAGTTCGAGCAGTAATGTCATTAATTATGAAAAGAACGCGACCCAGACGTGTTCCATAAGAAAAGTGACCTGAACTGACTTGTGTTGTGGTATAGATTACAATAAACTTGACTTTAGGGGTGGGCGGGGCACACAGCCCAATATAATGGTGGAGGAAGTCCATTCTCCACTATCTCATTTGAAAAAGAACCAGCAGGTTCAAGTGTTTTATAATATTCTGGGTTTCCACCCTGCAGTGGCGAAACTAATTCATTTCTCCTTTCTTCACATCAACTCAATAACTGTGTTGACAAACGTAACTGTTAAATACAAATAACCACCCAGTGGTTTAATGCAACGTGTTTAATGAACAACAGGTGCAATATCACTGTGTATTACTTCCTGTTCAACTTCTGTGAAATCGCTTCATGCACTATTATTTATTCACTCCTGTTTACATTTGTCACTTCATACTGTTTATATTTATATTTAGCTTATAGTTTATATTTAGCACAATTTTATTTTTGCACTAGTATATATATATATATATATATATACGTATATATAGTTATATCGCCATACCTCAAGCAGTTACTCATGGCATACAAGCTGTGTACTTTGTACTGTGTAACAACAACATTTTGTTGCCACTCAATGTTTTTTGTGTTTCTGTGCAATGACAATAAAAAAAAGTCTAAGTACCTTAAACATGCTGTTTTTCTACTTTGTGTTTTTCTCAGTTTGTCCAACAATACTGACACCGACAGCAATGACACACTGCTCACTCCTGCTGTTCCCACTATTAAAGCAACAACCACACCGCCTCCCACCCCCAAACCCATTTTTCCTGTGCAGACAGGGGTCAAGGCCCAGGAAGAGGAACAGTCCAGTGGGATGACCATATTCTTCAGCCTGTTGGTTATTGGTGTGTAGACTCTCTTTGTCTGACACTTCTTTTCTTTTTGCTATGTGAACTGCAGTTCATATTTGATGTTTATGCCCCCCATTAACACTGAGGACTTCATAGTTCAAACTTGACATGTTAAGGCATAAATACTGGGGTCCAATATTTAATGGTTACTAATTTACTCAACAAACAAAAGAAAATGTTCCCAGAGTTTGAGTTGGTAAAGTGGAATAACAGCTGCTCCAGCTTGAATGTCTTTGTAATCAATAATCAGCATTGTTTTTGTCCAATCAGGTATCTGCATCATATTGGTGCATCTGCTCATCAAGTTTAAGTTGCATTTTCTTCCAGAGAGTGTGGCTGTTGTGTCTCTAGGTGAGTGTGTCGTTTTTAAACACGCTGGGCTGAATATCTAAAGGCCCATTAGTCAGAGTCACCATTATGGCACAACCCAGTACCTAGTCACTAACTATCACTAACTTCACCACAAGTTTTGATTCCATTTGGGGGCGCTGGCACTTTACATAAAAACAATGGTGGATGCAGGGCTTAGGAAATCCATACACACAACACAAGTTAAAGTTGGGAATAAACCCAAAATACAGTAAAATCAGTCTAACACCTACACGTTTAATACCTAATAAATATATTTCTCTTTGTATGGTCAGGAAACATAAATTGCATTTCTGTTACTACAAGTGCTTTTAGTCTCACAGAACGAGGTCACTTCCTTCTCTTTGTTTTTCCATGAATATTCTTTGTCTTAGAACAGAGAGAAGCCAGGATGGGTTAGCAGAGTTAGCATAGTCTAACCAAGCCTTAGTAAAGGGAAATTGGCACACAATCTCATTTGAGATCATTTGTGTACAAATTATTTTATTCTTTTTATTGCAGGGATTCTAATGGGAGGACTCATCAAGATTATTGAGTTCCAGGAACTGGCCAACTGGAAGGTAAAAGGTTTTCGTCCGTGTCTCCGTTCTGATCTACTCTCCACCAGTCAAATATTATCAAAGTATTAGGAAAGAAGAATTTCTAGAAAAAGTTTTAAAATGTGTGTGATCTGTGAAGCACAGGTGAAAACCCACTGTGTTCTCTTTATTTAACAGGTTTAAAGTGTTTTTGTTTTTTTACCCTTCTTTTCACATCTTCATTTAAGGAGGAAGAAATGTTCCGACCCAACATGTTCTTCCTTCTGCTGCTGCCACCCATTATCTTTGAGTCTGGATATTCTCTACATAAGGTCAGCTGCTACCACATCAAGGACAGGATCCTAGAGATTGTTGTAAACAGTTTACTGCCAAATTAAAATGACCAGAGCTAATAGTACGAAGATAGAAGTAAACAAACCTGTGGCTCCCCTCCACTCTCCTGACTGAATGCCCAGGTCACTACACAGACATTTACGCACTAATTAGAAATGAAATATGCAGAGTTACTGTAAAACCAAAACTTTCTTCCAAAAGAAATGTATTTCCACATACATGTTGTGTTAAGCATATTAAATCCACACACACTGAGTGCAATAAATCAAACAGCAATGCTGGAAACACACGTCCAGTCAAACCTGTAAATACATAGTTGAATTAGGATGATTGTACAGAGTGCACCTCGTTACACACTTACTGAGTACTACAGATACTCACTTACTCTGATACTAATTTCCTTTGTGGACACTGTGTGACTTCATGAATAATCCATATGATTGATACAGGGGAACTTCTTCCAAAACATCGGCTCCATCACACTCTTTGCTGTGATTGGCACAGCCATTTCAGCCTTCATTGTCGGGGGAGGCATCTTCTTTCTGGGCCAGGTGAGAAAGTGTCACAGTGAAAATGTATCTTTATTTATATATATATATATATATCCAGATATATCCAGATCTATGCGTCCTTGACAAACAACATAAGACGTCAGTTCACCAAGTCTGACTGTCCCTGACCCAGGTTTTTAAGCGTAACAGACAGAGTTTGACAGACTTTAGCTGCTGTTGCCACCGTCCTGAAACTCAACGGTTACTGTGACTTTTATCACTCAGACATCAACAATATCATAGGAAGTTGTGTTGTTCCCCAGCTACCAGGTTGTTCTGCCCTATATGTTTAAATACAGGAAACATACTTATATCTTGTCATGCTACATTCGTCACACAAACGCTCAGCAGTTTTCCATTACTCACTTTTGATTCCTCGTTTGTGTTTCCTTCTTTCTTGTTTGTGTTTCTTCAGGCAGATGTCATCTATAAAATGAGCATGGCAGACAGGTGAGTATGGCATTTTCT